CTTACTGTATGTTAGGTGATACTAGCAAAACTAGGTTACTAAAGACAGCTAGCAGTAACAGAACCTTCTTGTTTATTAGTCACTGTAACTGTAACAGGTAAATACCAATAGGAGGTAAGCATTAGATTGACTTCTTCGAACTAAAAGTCAAAAGCATTAATTGATGGCCTGCTGGCTGCTGCATAATCCTACTTGGGGCATATTTGGGAAACCTTTTAAGCCTAAAGTGACCTATACTCATCCAAGGCGTTGCTCCAGCAAAGTGCACGCCACATTTCCAAATGCAAATTTCACCCAAGTTGCATTTGCCACCAGTTATTGTATGTATAGCAAGGATTGAGATTATCAGAGTGATAAATTCCCTATGTGTAATCAGATGTAACCTTTCTGTAACAGAAAACAATATGTAACAACGTACTACACTATTAGGTAGAATTTACACCAGGGGACATGCTGTATCTGTTTTCTTCATCAGTATTTGTACAGCAAGTCAATATCAGCTATGTCATCAATCTCATTATTCAGTGTCATTGTACCACATAGTACCAAGGAGAAACTACACAAGTTTGGTGTGTGTACCTACTGTAAGATTGCTCAAATAGTTTCTGATATTTATGGGATTCAGTTCCTAGAAACTTGCTACATATGCAGAAGAGGGGTTCAACATTTGCGTGTTCTTTTCTTCAAAAGCCTCAGTTCAAAATTCAACACCAAATAGTCAAATACAAGAATATGCATCTAACAATATGTCTAGCTTGATTAACTGTATTTGGGGATAAAGTGCATCCCTGTTCTTTGAATGTTTGCAGCACTGTTCTATTCAACATTTCAAGAAAATAGACAGAGAAAAAAACATGAATAAACAATTCACAGCATTAAGTACTCAGATAGGAAAAATCCTGTAAATAACTAGGAAAAAACTCAATCGATGCTTCCTATAGAATTTTTTTATCTCGTATCTACAATCCTAAAACTTCTTTATAACACAAAAATGTGCAGAACTAAAGAGATTAAGTACGCTAACTTACACTCCAAGTAGAAAGGGCCAAACTTTAGCCCTGATTTCTGGTTCAACTCCCTGGAAACAATGATGGATTAATTTAGCTTCAACATTGTATGGAACTATGAATATTCAGAAATTTGTATAGCTAACAACCGCACATCTACACTAGTTAGCCAGTACAAATATAACCTGGAATAACAACAGGACTTACTCCACCGCGGACTTTCTTTAGAAACTTCCTTCCTCCATCACGAAGCTTCCCATCTGACGAAAATAGATGGTTCCAATGCCGACAAGAAAGTGGCCGTTTTCTTTTCCTTCGAGACCACGGAGATTTAGTTCCACCTCTGAAAATAGATTGTTCACTTTTATGAAATACCAAACATGCTGAGTGAGATAAGAATAACTCATAATTGAATGATGGCTCTATGTTATGCATTGTTTGCAGCATAGCATTCACAATAGAGCTTCCTTCGACAGCCAAATTTTATGAAGAGGGTTTAGTGTTATCCAATGGAGTTCAAATGTACTACAAGTTACCAACAAACCCTACACACAACTTGTAATCTAACCTCACCAATAACGCAAGTGCTCAAGCCGTAATATGAACAGGCACCTAATTCGAAATGAACTAATCCATGGCATGATATGATTTTGCAATACATAGTTCTGAAGTCTATCACTTGCACTAACATATACCAGGACACCCTAAATCGCATAACCTAACTGTTTCGCGCACCATAAAATTGGTCAAACAGCTTATTGACATTTTGCAGAACTTAGCTTTCTAGCATAATAGGATGAGCCAGTCTCAGAGCATACAAGAAGCACCTCGTTCTGACCTCTTATACAGCAAAAAGGTAAAAACTTTTTAGTCTAAAGCAAACACCCAATCCAATCCGAGTGAAACACACCCGACAGCACGGCGCTAAAGACCGGGAAGCAAAAAATAAAATAAAATAAAAATAATAAAATCCCCATTTCTGTACTAGTAATCCAAATCCGGAGCGGGAGAAGTAGCAAGTAGCAACCCACCTATCAGAGTGCGGCGAGTACGACGCCGGCGAGAACGAGGCGGAGGCCGCCGCCGCCGCCGCGGCGGGGGATGCCGAATTCCCCGACGCCGCCAAGGACGACGACGAGGAGGAGGACGAGGAGGAGGCGACGAGGAGGGACCGGAGCTGGACCCACGGCGGCGGCGAGGACGGCGCCCTGGGCGAAGACGACGCCGACGACGACGACGAGGTGCTGGATCGCCGCAGCGCCTTCATCCCCACCACCACCACCTACTCACCACTCGCTCAATAACAAGCTAGTACCACCAGAGCGGCAAGGCCGCGAAGCCTCCCTCGCTCTCTCCGCGCCGCCGCGGCGAGCCTCCCCCATCCGCCGTTCAGAGGCCACACCTCCGCCGGCGAGAGCTCGCCGTCGAATGGATGCGGAGGCGGCGCCGATTCGGTTTCCTCCGCCGGACAGGGAAGGGAGTTAAAAAGCAGGAGGGTGGGCACCGGTTTTAAAACGTGGGGAGTCCGAACCGTGGGGCCCACCTGTCAGTGTCACTGCTCTGTGGGGCCAGGCGAGGTGGGGCCCCACCTGTCAGTGGGTGGAGTTGTCCTGGAAGCGAGTGAAGGAAGAGGGGAGGGGGGTCAGTTAATTAGTACAGGCAGGAATTTATTGTTGTATAATATTATCTTGGGATTAATTTCAGCTTGTCTTATGTGATTTAAGGGTATTTATAACTGAGATTTGTTTGATCTGGTATTTATCCTGGTTTTAATTGGGAGATTTGGTTTTGCAATGAAAATAGAATATTTGGAGATTTGGTTTGCAATGAGAAGAAAATAAATAGAAAAGATTTGGTTTGGTATCTGTCCTCTTCGTGTCGTGCGAGTGCGAGCTATGGCCGTGCCAGAGTCTCCATCTCTCTTTGATGGCGTAGGATAAATTAGTGCTATCTCATTCGGTCACTCCTTGTTCAGTTTTTGGCAACTTTGACCGCTGCTAATCACCACGGGGGTGAATGCAATTTTCAACATGTGCTTAAGCTAGCCCAGATTAGTGTCAATGGTCAAGATCATCATTGATGTTCTCCAAACTCCTCCTTTCCGTGACAAACACAATTTAAAACCCCATAAAGCCGCCGCTAATGCTATTATGCTAGTACTATTAGTCCATGATGCCATCTTGATTCATTTCTACTCGATTATGTGGCCACGACTGAATCTGTTTGAGAGAGCTTACCGTTAGGAACTCTCTTAAATAATCTATTTTTTCGTTTAGATTCTAAAAAACCATAATTATAAAATCCAGTATATAAATTAGAAGTCAAAAAGTTGAAAACCCAGATTTTCTATATTTTCATTAAGTAACTATCAATCGTCTGTTTCTTAGAATTTCAAACTCCCTGCTACAAAGGTTTAAATTCTAATAGCAACCGATGAGAATATAGAGAAGTTGAAAAAAAAAACAACTTTTAGGTTATGGTTCGTTTTCTCGATTTTACAACTACATCTTAAAATCTAGATAAAAAGTTACATTATTTACAAAACTTTTGATTCTAAAAGAAATTATAGTTGCTAGAAAACTTTTGATTCTGAAAGAAATTACAGTTGCTACAAGCTATCCACAGTCCAAGCTATTCTGTGTTCCGATACTAGGGTTGGGAACCCAATCTCCCCGCACGGAAAACGGAGCGGTCCATTAGCGCGTGATTAATTAAGTATTAGCTAATTTTTTTTAAAAAAATAGATTAATTTGAAATTTTTAAGCAATTTTCATATAGAAACTTTTTTAAAAAAACACATCGTTTAGCCATTTGAAAAGCGTACGCGTGGAAAACGAGGGAGAGGGGTTGGGAATTTGGAGTTCCAAACACAGCTATATACTATCAAGGTATGCATGCACTAGAACATTGCAAAATTGATTAGATATTGGGCAGCTTAGCTAAACAAATGGACCCATCAGATCTCCCCGACATAATGCCGGACCTAATCTGATTTTCTTTTGGTTCTTGGACTTCCTCTTCTTCTCATCGCGGCTCGAATTCTTCATAGATGAGATGAGCAGAGGCAGAGCAGAGCGGCGGGTAGGAGATGCCCAAGATCCCAACGCTGACGGCGACACGGGCTTGATGGATGGGACCTCGTGTTCCCCGGGGAAGAGACCGGGATGCACTTGTATAATCAAGGCTAATGCATTGCGCTACTATCATTACCTTACCTGTGTCACAGGAAAATGGGGCCATGTTCTTCTCCTCCATGTTCATGTGACCTCTAGTAAGAGTCACATGTATAGTATAATGTATTCTAGACCTGAGAGGTCACCAATTCACAAATGCAATTGGAGAATCTCATGTGGCTTGTGCTTAGATTTCCTTGTTGCTAGATGCTCCTGACCAAACTAATCTGTAGAAATCAAGAATTCAGAAAGTAGCATGAAGAGTAAGCAGACCAGACCTCACTGATGAGCCATTTACTCTGTGCTCATCTTTGTGTACTGTTGATCTGTTGATGCAGTTGGTAGGTTCAGACTTGAGAGCAGGGTTCACAATCTCAACGAAAACCAGACTTCTCGGGCCAGCTAGATAACACAAACCACTCGGTTTTTCAGTCAAGTTTTTTTTTAAAAAAAATAAAACTAAAATTTAATAATTTTATAAATTTTGTTGAATTTTATTGGTTTTTGTTGGTTTGCCAACGTTTTCACGAAAAACGGAGATACCGCTCAGTAACAGGAATGTGAACCCTTGACAGATTAAATATGATCATGTCATCAAGTTTTTGCGTGACATTTATATTCAGATGGCAGCCTTGCTGCATTGACATGCACAAATGGTTGGCACAGTTCTGTATAAATGTAGCCCTAAATGTTTCTGCATCTGCAGCAGTCATATCTGATGCATGACTGGGCTCGATACTCACAGGATACCTGACGGCACTGAATGATGCGTATCTGAGACATGCATGAAAGCAAATACAACTGATCCACACAAAACATGGGACGGAAAACAATATTCCACCTGATGCTACTTTGTAGTATCTGCAATGACATGTAAAGCAACAGAGAAAACCGCAAAAAAAAAACTAGCAAATGCTGAACAAAAGTGTCTTTGTACAAAGGAAACAAATAGGTAACATCAAATTGTACAGGTACTGATCTAGATATTTCCAAGCGCATGACAAATACCCCATAAAGTGGTAATCAATTGACTGAAACTGGAGTCTCAGACACTTATGCTGCATAATACTACGAAAAGAGCACAAGATTTCCACAGAGGACTAATGCAACAGAGAATAAAATGAAAATCCCCTGAACTTTTTATACTTCGGATCAAAGTTTCAAACTTATATAACACAGTGGGCTTCAGATGCTGGACAGCATTGACACTGCTGGTTTGTCAGTGAACCAAGTGAGCACTCCCTCTTGCTGTGAAACCATCTCAACAGGCAGCAAGTCTGAAGAGCTTTGCTTATCTGAGAATGCCTTATGCACTGCCCCAGCTTTCCCAGCACCAGTGACCACAAGTGCGATATGTGCCGACGAATTGACTAAGGGGAAAGTAAATGTTATTCGCTCTGGTGGTGGCTTGGGTGAATCCTTGATGTAGCTGACCCACTTTAGGTTTTCATTGACAACCGGATGACCGGGGAAAAGAGAGGCAACATGCCCATCAGGGCCCATCCCCAGAAGCATAAGATCAAGCTTGGGGAATCCAGTTACTTCTGATATTGCAACCACACCATCATTAACTAGTTGCTTTAGACAAGTTTCATATTCATCTGCAGCCCCTTCAGCTGATAGTGTGTCGTTTATGGCATAGATTTGGCTTGCAGGAATTGGCACCTACATTGTTCAAAGTCATAAACTTTTGAATACAGTTCTGTTGATATACATAACAAAGATAACAGTCTATTCTTGATAACATATGATGAAAATTTGAGAAAATCTAAGTGCAACGAGAAAACAGATATGAACCCTCTGCACACAACTCAGTTGAAGCTGAATTCGAATATACACATAAAAGGTGTGCAAACTGTGCTTTAGATTGCATGACAAAAAGTACTCATACACATAGACTATGATATAGACATATTCTTTTGCTAAAGTCTAATAAAAAAATCCTCAAATACAACTCAGTGTCCCTCAAAGATAGTTTCTAAAGAGAACAAACCTATTGCACATTTTTCACGGACTATTCGCAGCAGAAATTGAATCTCCCAGTAGCAACAAGGCCAAACAGATTAAAATACATCATGCATCACCTAATTGGATTCTAAAAAAACAAGTGCATCCAAATGTACTTGGAGAGAGCAAGAGCATGTATAGTTGTGCGCAATTGAACAATTGAGCATGTATGGCAGTGAGTCCCTTTTGTGGGCCATCACCGCTCCCGGCCACAGCCCAACATTGCAACTTTTGTACAGTTTTCACTCCTTCTATCAATACAAATGGCAGAAATTTGCTGTTTTGTTTTTTTTAAAAAAAGAATATCTAAAGTGTGCAACCCAACGTTAGAAAATTATGTGCAAAGAACCATAATCCTGGTGTTCTGTAAACCAAAGTCCAATTTAGGTGGTGAGAACTGCAATTTACTCTGAAATGACCAGATCCAGCAAAATATGCAGGACAGCATACAGTATTTCCATTTCGCACCTACGAAAGAACCATCATGACTACTTCCTCCGTTTCACAATGTAAGTCATTCTAGCATTTCCCACATTCATATTGATGTTAATGAATCTGTATAGATATATATGTCTAGATTCATTAACATCAATATGAATGTGGAAAATGCTAGAATGACTTACATTGTGAAACGAAGGGAGTAATTCACAATGATCACATTTTGGCAAGCTACCTGCAGATTGTTAAGCGACAGCAACCCAATTCCCCAACCATCGAAACGGATTATGAGTTACTATGATATGACAGCCAAAAAGGAATGGGTAATCCAAGTGAGTTGCTACCTTAGAAAGCAACCCATCCATGGCGAGTTTGTAGTTGCTATCTGCGTGGTCCTTGGGCACCACCCTCTCGTCCACCCAGAACACATGCCATTTGCTCCATTCCACCGCCTCCAGGTACGGCGACTCCGTCAACTTCCTGCAAATCCCAAGAAATCCCCATGTTTATGTCTTCCACACGATCCAAAACCCAAAGAAAAATACACAACAATAAAATCGCTATCTCGAGGAGGGCGGGGAAGAACCTGAGGGCCTTGATGAGCGAGCCACCGGAGAGCGCGACGGTGAACGCGCCCCTCTCCGCGACGGCCTCCCCGGAGAGCCGCGCCGTGTACTTGGCCAGAGACTCCGCGAGGTACTCCTCGGCATCGAATATGAGCAGCTTCTTCCTCGCCGCCGCCGCCGTCGTCCCACCGGCGCCGCCCGGTGAGGCCGTGGCGTAGACCGGCGGCACGACGGGAGAGCGTGGGGAGGTCCGGGATGCTACGAGCCGGGAGGGTAGAGACCGACGGGGTGTCGCCTGAACCCTGGACGCCGGAGACGACGACGAGCGGCGGGAGGTCGTCGAGGAGGCCGCGGCGCAGGTGGAGGAGACGGCGGCGGAGGCGGACATGCTGGCGTCGACGGCGACGGCGGCGGCGGCGGCGGCGGGGGAAGGTGGAACGAACGGGAAAGGGACGAGTGGATGGGGAGAGGTGGACCACTTTATACCGTCCAGATCGCGATGGACGGCTGGATCGCGCTCACCGTTTGCTCCGCCTCTCTCTCGATGTGGACACGTGTCTCCCGCACCATGATGACGTGGAAAATGGAGAGAAAACGCCATTTTTATATTTTTCTCCTTCCCCTTATTTGCTAGTGCTTGTTCTAGTGTAATTTCAGGTGTTAGTGGTGTATGTTCCATAAGGTTATGCTAGTTCCAGGGTTGGTTTTGTTCTTTTTGCTAACAATTTATTTTATTTATAGCTATAGTTCTATCAAAATTCATTTGTATTCTAGAATCTGACCGAAAAGAACCCTTTGACAGAGTAAAATCTCTCTTACTAGATACATATGATACATTGTGTTATTTTAGTTTCGGGAATTAGGATTGCTTTTATTCGTTTCCTAGAATCTGTTAAGGTGTATTTTATCCGTTTCACAATGTAAGTCATTATAGCATTTCCCACATTCATCCTAATGTTAATGAATCTATATAGATATATATATGTTTCATTAACATCAATATAAATGTGAAAAATGCTAGAATGACTTACATTGTGAAACGGAGGGAGTAGTTAGATAAAAGAGCTCCCAGAAAGAAAATGAGTTACATCTCACCCTGGTTAGCTATGTATCAATAAGCTGGGCGAATTTGGATGCCCTCCTTAAAAATCCCATTTGAACCTGCCAGCTAATATATTATGATTGATGTGGATGGTTGTTTGGCATACTGTCTAAAGAATTGTTATACTAGATATTCTGTTATTTACTGTTTGATTACAGTTTTAGTCCCTGGTTTTCCCCATGTGCAAGGGCATGATCCAGGTGAAAGAGAGGACATAACAACTTATGAGTTGTCTGGTACTTCTAACGGCCCCATCATTTCAACATAATTACAAATAAAAATTAATTTGTGAATAAAACTTTTAAATATGTACTTGTGTGTCCGTATATCTAATTTGACAACCAAACCCAAAAATTTTCATCAACTAAACAAGGCTTTATTATAGGTGATATCGATCACTGTTGTCTCATTTTTGCGCGATACTGAATCAATGTGATTGATCGAATGTTGTCCAGCACGTGTCCCATTTTTTTATGTTGTTTGAAATTTGTTTATGGTATCGGCCGCATGTGATGTATTCCCCCCTTCTCGTGAACACTCGTGATTCTGACAGCCCGCAGAGGCGTTGGACAGTGGATGTTCATGTACGACCATTCATGCCACCCATTGCAGTCCAACATGTTCGTTGATTCGAAAGAGAAAATGGAGGCCAGTAATTGCACAAGAACAAAAATTACAGCGTAATAATACATTCATAGGACGAGGAGACATAATCACATTAATTTCAGCTATATACGTATATAAATGCAGTTCTAACGTCCAAGCTGCCCATATACCCAGATAAGCAACGTAAACACGAGCTTGCGGAACAAATCGCGGCCCAAGATTCGAACATTTGGGCTATTAACATGGTCGAAAATATTTCTTAACGAATTCAACCAGAGTTAGTTAGATCGAAATAAATTTATTAATTTGGTGAAAGCATTACTATATACAGCAATAACTGAATAATTGATTACTCGTAGCTTCTTACTAAAATCACAAGATCAGAATATTATAAGTCAAGTACAAAACAGGAACACAGACGATCTTACACGCTGAAATGTTAATGCACAAATCTTACACACAACAGGAACATGTTGCCTAGAGAGCTGACAAAAATATCTTATAAGAAAAAGATGATAAATCAGCACTGAGCCTCAGCAGTAAGTTCAGTATTTGCAGTCAGCTCATATATATGCTGACTACTCAGATATCAGCAAGCTGAGTATTAGTCGTCAGTTTTGATATCAGTTGACAACTTGACATTATAACTGACTCAGATTCAATATGAATATCCCAACAATAAAGTAATACTAACATCAACATTATTAGATAGCATACAACTTTCTACGATAAATAAAATAGTAAACAGTCTAACATGAGCATACTGATAGAAATAACTTGCATTTGAATATACTTCATATCAAAAACTGCACTATGCAATAAGCTGAATATATTATGATCTGTGATGTGCACAGCCGAATATGATCTTTCAATTGACAAGAAATGGAAACAGTCAAGGAACCTGGCAGAAAGTACTAAAACAGCTGAGTAAAAGTATGATCTGTCATGTGCACAGCACAACAAGCAGGGACTGTGCGCGGTTTACCATTCAACAGTACCAACCTCAGCAAAACGATCACAGCACAGCCCCATATCAACAGTTTAGGGATATGAACCCTACATACCATGCCTGGCTCACAAGTCACAACTTAACCTCATACTGTTGAATATCTAAAGGCAAATCAACCCTTGTAGCACTCAACTCTATTGTCAAAGCTTTTTATATTCCTAAAATTTGGTGACACTAATAAGAATTCAACAGGGTCAAGACGTAAGCACTGCCCAAACAACCTCTGGTGGGTTCAATTGAGCACAGGCAGCTTTGCATCAGCAGGAGAATTGGTTCTAACATGCATGGTGCAGGGACAACTGATTCTACGAAAAGCCAGGAGTAGGAACAATCATTACCAAAGCTAGTACTCACGTCCAGCGCAACTACATATATTAAGGCAAATAATAACACCACAGAAAGGCAAAAGGATTACATTATATTAGATTAAACCTAAGATGTTGTCATGTATTTGCGAGAAACAGTAAGCTCTTAAAATTACTAAATATGCCCAAAAAAAAGGGAAGCAAATGTTAACTAGAGATAACAATAACCTGATAACAAGCCATACTGTCTGGGTGACGCCGCGAGATACAAATACAGTTGACCATAAATATTAAGGAAGCAGATACAGTATGAGGAAGTACTCTCAGAGTTCCAATTTTCTATCATACGGTACGCAATCTAATGGAGACTGAATATCGATTATTGCATCATCCCTTTCACGATTTCAAACCATGAGATGCCGAACCCTACGAAGAAGCCACCGGCGGAGATATCAGCGCAATATAGAAGCGTTACGCCGCAGAGTTTGAACGCTCGTATAAACGTAGGTTCCGCAAGCACCTCAAAACCAGACTCGCGCGACTTAACGCCTACCACGAGGCCCGCCAGCTGACCTCGGACCAGGAAAGCGTGAGAACTGCAGCCGCAAATGGGCTGAATCACGATCGTGTTCGTCAAACTTATAACCTGCAAAACGAATCGTGTTGGTTTATGTTTTTTCCAATCGTCGTGTGAGCAAGAGTACGAACCTCAAACGCGCATTCCGTGCAATGAAGGATACGCATGGAAAGACCAAACATAAACAGGAATAGGACATCAAGCTAAGTTTAAATCGTGCAGTATCCTATAGTGAGCTCATTCTTAGCAGCAAACTATAAAATGTCACCTCTAGAAGACACAAAGCGCATCAAAACGTATGTACTATGTTGGCATTCTGCAGTGGGAAAATTGTAGATATTTCCCAATTGATAGCCAACTTAATGCTACCTTGAAGTAGAAAGTTTAACTAAATAAGAAAGCAATACTATGACCAGTTTCCAAGGAAGCGAGGTTAGAGAAAAAGAGGAATGCACACATATACGTGACAGATGCATGTTTTCAAAGTGAAGAGTCATATTATCTGTAAAACAACACAATCCATATCTACAAATATAAGTATGTTCACCTTGCAATGCTTCAAGAGCAAGAGTAGCTTGCGCAGGGTTATCAAAATCAACAAAGCACAAGACATGAGGATCTCCTCCAGGCTGCAGAAAATTAGACAGTTAAAAAGAGATATAGTGAGAGCACAGAATTTCATAGCAAAAGCATATTAAGCATACGTGTCTTGACTCCTTGTTGACAAGTCTGACTTCACGAAAACCTACAAAAGGGCGAAATATATCTGCAGAGCGAAAAGGTCAAGGAGCAAAAGCATATACCTATTGATAGCCAAAAAAGAAATATGCCAATACACCAACTCATAGAGCTATTAAGGAAAAAAGAAATTAGAATATCAAACAAAACAAAGTTGAGTTGTTAAGGGAACGAAATTTAGAGTAGAATACAAGTACAATTATACAAGGATACGTGACACCTCCCTTCGTGTGCAGTTTGCAGGCAGGCCTTCAACGTACAGAGTGCTTGATGCATCTGCTGGGAGAGGAGGCTCGGGCCTTGCACCATAGCCCATACCTCTGCTGTCCATGCCAACACCAATCATCCGACGATCATCAACAGGATAGCCTCCCATTCCACCCATTCCACCCATACCACCAACAACTGGCCTATTGGTTTCAGTGGCAGCAACAGAAGGCATCTGCAAGCATAGCATGCAGACTAAAAGTTAAGGAACTATCAACTTTAAAATAATGCGTATATTTATACAGAGGAACTTGAAGTTGTACCCCATTACGCAAGTAGCGATCATAGGATGCTCCGATAGCCTCATTCTCTCTCAGTGCATGGTAACCTGTCCTGTCAGTCTCACGTGGATAATAACCAGTCATGTCTTGTCCTGCAGGCACATCTGCAAAGTAATAATATTAAGTTTAAAAGACGATTCCAACTATCTCATATAATTGATACAATCAATACAATGGTAAGTTCAAGATCCTTCAATAGATAAATTGATGAGAAAAGGAGGAAACGATATTATAGTAACAAGGAAAAGGATATGATGACATAAATTATGCCACCAACCACAACTACCAATAAAACAACATGCAGTAACTTAGATACTGAAGGATCTATACCCAACAGAATCTATTGAAGGATCTACACCCTGTCAGAAGATAGCATAGAATCTACACCCAACAGAATATAAACATCTGCAACTTATATATGCTTTGTGTAAATCATTTCCCATAAAGGGAGCAGCAGGAATTCTTCCCAAGGCTCCAAAGACAATGAAACTAGTGACTCCCAACCGGAGCTCCTTAGTCAAGACCATAAAAAATAATTCTAAACAGGCACATATTGTGTTACAGGGCTGTAACACTGCATGGAAGATAGTGCAATAAGCATAGTTAGAAACTTATCAGTACACCTTCACCCCTTTGAAAGTTCCGGGAAGATTGAAACTCACAAATAATAAAGAAATATTTTCAAACATTCAAACATGTAACTATCTTGGGAAAGAGGCAGTTACTGGCTAAATCAAATAATCATTACTGGCTAAATCAAATAATCATACTGCAGCATTAGATCCTATATTGCAAGCTTTACGAGACCTAAAAGCGAGGGTAAACATACTGACTGTTACATACAACGAACAAAGTTCGTATAGAAATTTCTTGTAGATCTCGTGGCGAAACTAAGGGTAAAAACAACGTGAAATTTCAACTAGATCTTCGTCAATAATTTCATAAATCATGGCACGCAAGCAATATCGGGGAGCAAAACAACCACCAAAACGAGGATATAGCCTAACCCCCTAGTACAGATCCAGATCTAAGATGGCGTAGAGCGCGAGCAACGGACGAACCTCCGTAGTCGGGGCGCGCGCGCTTGAGCGGCGGCGCGGCGGCGGCCTGCTGCGCCATGGCGGCCTGCGGGGGCATGCCCGCCGCGGCCTGGCCGGCCGTCGCGACAGTCGCCGCCGTGGGGGCCATCCCCGCCGCGGCGGCCGCCGCCGCCACCATGGCCTGCTGCTGCCGCGCGTCGGCGAACCTCCAGTAGTTCTCGGCGGCCATCGCTGCCTCCCTCTCCTCCGCCTCCTATCCCCCTAGGTCGTGGATCTCGCCTCGCGGCTTGGTGAGCTTGACGGCGGCGGCGGCGGCGCGCGGCTAGGGTTTCGCGAACACGACACGGGGAGGAGTCTGGTTCGGGCAAGAAGATGAGATCTCGAGAGAGAGAATTGATGGGGAAAAGAAGGCGAAAGCGTTGGAAGGGAATACGTATTAGGACAGGGTTTCCCTCGCAAAAATGCCACCGCAACTCGTGCTCGCGTCGATCTGGGCCGCGGAATTCCGATCGTACGGCTGAGGGAGTCGGCCAAAATAGGTGGAGGGTTCCAAAGGGTAAAAGCGTACTACTGCAGGGGGTTTAACGTAAAACAACAAGCGCTACCTACTACCACGATCTGGGCCGTGGAATCCTGATCGGTTGGCTTGTGAGGACCAAATTAAGGATTGCTACCAATGGTAACCACACTATTGGGCCTTCACACCCTGAAAGTTTATATGGGCCGAACTGGAGCCCGGTCCCCGTTAGGTGGGCCTATTCGGCCTTAGATGTGCCCATTTCGGCCGGATGAGACGTTACTCTACAATCCATGGGCCTTTTAGAGATGATTTGTGGCCGTACAGTGTGTGGGCTTCTGTCTAATTATCGTGTCAGTCACTTCGCTTATAGATATGCTTATCATGCAAATGCTAAAAAAATAAATCTTTATCTTTATCTTTTATTTATACTATTATAAAATTGAATATGTTTTTGCTAGTACTCTGGTACGTTATCCTTGTTTGAGTCGGTTTTTAATGTTGTTCGCTTTTGGAAATATGGATTCGTGTTTGAGTCGGTTTTTATGTTTGTTCACTTTTGAAAGTATAAAAGGAGTCGTATAAGAAATATCTTTAAGAAAACTCACATGCTAACTTGAGACGAAAGTTGGACTCCTAATTGCAGCTCATAATTTTCTAAAAAAAGATTAAGCGAATTTCTAGTGTAAATTTTATCTTAGCTAAACTGTATAACAATAATAAGATTAAAATAGCCTTCACCCATTGCAACGCACGGGTATTTTTTATAGTTAAAAATTAAATTTTGGTTTATAGGTATAAATATAAACGAAGCGATGGGATTTAAAAAATTAACTTGTTGCAAACCGGAGTTGGTGAATCGTCCTTTTGCAACTTTGGTCATTTGGTGCATGAGCGCCTCGTTTTACTTGCTCCTCTTTATGCTTACATCCTACCTAATAGCTATCATGATGAATTTGTTGAATGCCTTAGAACAGAGGAACAGGAGGTTCCCATGTCAAGCAAAAGGGAATGCTTTAGGCAGATCATGGAGATAAAGACTCTATAGAAGCAGCACACGTGAACGATTCTTGCGTAAGTACTCCGCCATAATTTCTGACGAAGATCGGTTTACTAATAGGAACGGACCTTTGTAGGGTAAGTGTGCGTGTAGATATAAGTGCTCGCGTCCATACTACTTCCTCTGTCTTAAAAATATAAGTATTTTTTATAGACACGAGTATATTAATAAAATATGTAGAAATGATTGGATAAGGATTGTGATTGGTGGAGAAGATAAAGTATGTCAAGACAACAACAGTTGTAAATGTGATCTGGACATAAGCATCCACTCAAAATCCCTTATATTTTTGGGACGGATGGATTAGTATTTATCAAAAATAGAAAAGAAAAACAGCAAGTAATTAGTAAGGATCAGCTAAAAAGATCAAGAAAAGCAATAGTACGTGATTAGTAAAGATTTGCTCATTAAAAAAAAGTATAGGTACGATTACGGTGAAGAAGCGGAGAAGGTGATTATAAAAAAGAAGAAGAAAGGGGCGCATCACCTTCACGTTCCGAGATGTGGCACGAATCCCGAGGACTGCAGCCCGAGATCGGGCGCGTGTCCCGAGGCAGCATCGGCGCCATCAACCAACAACAAAGATAGTACTAGTATAACAACTAATCCCAACTCGCGGAGCAGCGAGATGAGATGACACTCTTCTTCACTTGCTGAACCTGATAGCGACATTATTCTTCCTCTCACCTTGCCCCTTCACACTCGTCACTCGCTCCAACCAGCCGCCTGAGCTCTCTCGCCGTACGTCGGCGCTCCATCGGCCGGAATTATCGGCGGCGATGGGGCTGCTGTCGCACCGCGTGGAGCGGTCGGAGATGAAGCCCGGCGACCACATCTACACATGGCGCGCCGCCTACACCTACTCCCACCACGGTACGTCCCTCTGTCGATCGCCGGCGCCATTGCCATTTGCCGACGCTCCCGTTTCAATTCGCTCGCCTTCCAAACCCATCTGAATTATGCGAGTTTTTTTCCGGCAATCTAGCCATATCCCGTGCGACCTCAATCGCCGGCGCCATTGCCATGTGCTTGCGCTTCCGTTTCGCCCTCCGAACCATGTGAATTACGCCGAGTTTTTCTTTCTGGCAATCTAGTTAATTAGCTTCCGAGCAGGCAAGCATTTTCAGTTTCCAGGGGTTATGAGATCAGAATTCCCTTGCTCTTCTTCTATACTCTGTAGATGCTGCTGCTGCTGTGATACTTCCAGCAAAATTTTTCAGTGAATCGCTGCTGCAAATTATTTGCTAGGCCGGCATTGTAACCTGCACTTTCCAGTTCAGTGATCATCGATCGCATCTGCAGTCATCGGAGCTGAATTTTTCGTGCTAAAGCTGCGCAATGTTATCTCCGGTATGCTGCTTCACTAATGGATGATTCGCACTCCTGCCGCAACCAAATGTTGGTTTTACAAACATGGTTAGGATATGATTTAATTACGGTTATATCTAACCATATATATTATCCAAGCCCCAGTTGGCTAATTATTTAATTGATGACTATTTATTACTATCTGCTAGATACCCAATACCAATCCTTGTTAACCACCATTCAGTAAGCTGTGATCAAAGGTGCCTGCTTTTCTTTTACCATCACTTTGTTACCAACACGCATCAGCTTCTTCCAGCTGCGTTGCCTTACACTCTTTTTACTTTGCATCTCTCACTTTTACATGCTCCATTGATTTAATCTCTTTATTACTTCACCGACGAACGACCTTTGATCTCTGCGATTGGAAGAAGCGTAAAGGGGCTCGCCTGTGTCGCCGCTTGCTGCTACCTTCCTTCCTGGACGGCATGGGGCCGGCGTTCTCGCCATGAGATTTGCAGGTGTTTTTGCTTCCGATCATTGGCATATGTAGGGCAGCATCGACATGGTGGTGGTTGGGTTTCTCCACATGACTGCCTGCATCCAAAAGATGCGGTGTGTTTGCGAGCTACGATCGAGTACTGTGTCTAGTCTGTCATTTACACCTTTTGCACCCCCTCCAGCAATCTCTCTGGCCTGTAAAATCTTCGGGTCAGATCGATCAAAAGAAAATCTTAACTTCAGTAATTGTCGCATGATTACCATGCTAACTAAGAGTAATTTTATTGTCGGTACTATAGGTATCACATCTTCTAAGGTGAATTTTGATACTACCTCTCTCAATACCTTAGGTATGACTGAAAGAAAATCTTAACTTCAGTAAGGAAAAGTCTATACATACTAAATTCTGTCTAACTAAACACTTATTACTAAAATTGCGTGTCACATTATTTTTTTTCCGAATGTGTAAAAGTCTTGCACGCCAAAATAGTACATCTAGATTTCTTATAACTTCCATCTACTTAAATCAAACGGTTGATTACAACTTACCATTACTGCTTTAGTTAACCGTTAGTATATTACAGAGGATTAAAACAACAAAAAAATTCTCCTTGGAGATCATGTTGTGAACTTGGGTGTTGCAATATTCAGGGATTTACGTTGGAGGGAGCAAGGTGGTGCATTTCACGAGGAAGAAGGAGGCAGGGACGGCAGGTCTGGACTCGGCGATCGCCATCTCCAGCCTCCTCTCGCAGGGCTCGCCGGAGTGCCCCACCTTCCCGGACTGCGGCTTCCAGCTCCCGGACAGCGGCGTCGTCCTCACCTGCGTCGACTGCTTCCTCCGCGGCGGCTCCCTCCACGGCTTCGAGTACGGCGTCCCGCCGGCGGTGTTCCTCGCCAAGCTCCGCGGCGGCACCTGCACCACCGCCGCCGCCGACCCGCCGGACGCCGTCGTCCGCCGCGCCATGCACCTGCTCCAGAACGGGTTCGGCAGCTACGACGTGTTCGAGAACAACTGCGAGGACTTCGCGCTCTACTGCAAGACGGGCCTCCTCCCCGCCGACGAGCCGGGCAGCATCGGCCGGAGCGGCCAGGCGTCGTCGGCGATCGGCGTCCCGCTGGCGGCGCTCCTCTCCACGCCGTTCAAGCTGCTCGCCGCCGGCCCCCTCGGCATGGCCGCCGTCACCGCCGGGATGTACTGCGCCGGCAGGTACATCACCGACATCGGGGTGAGGAAGGACGTCGTCAAGGTGGAGGTGGAGAACCTGTCGGCGCATCTTGGCTGGCGTCGCGCCAAAGCCGAGGAAGAAATGGCCATGAAAAAACAGCAGCCTTCATCACATGATACTAAGGTCAAGAAGAGTTTACTTCCTCTCAAGAGAAAACGTGACAATTTCTGCGAAATTATTACGAGCTGAAATTCTACTACAATTTGTATGGTTTTGTGTGGATAGGTTTTGGAGTTAAAATGCAATAAGTCCTGGAAATATATGAAGCGTCAAGTGTGCTTTGATTTAATCAAGCATTCGCTGTCTCTGTGTGTGTGTGATAGATAGATCGATCTGATCATGAATTGGGTGTGCCAAGGAGATTGGATTGCTGTACCACTATAGTATTATAGTCAGAAAATTTACTCTCTCTCTCTCTCTCTCTCTCTCTCTCTCTCTCTCTCTCTCTTTTTCATTTGAACCATCTAGTAGTATATATCTCTGTATTCTGATAAGCAATATCTCAATAACAACTTTCATGCAGAGTTGCAGACCATTGTCTACTAGTGGTAGTTGCGAGCTTGCATTCTTTGACAATGTGTGATGAGCTGTTGATTTGCCAGTGTTCAGTGAGCTGAGCTGTGCTTTGTTTATGGATCTAGCCAAGATGTTCCAAACCACAGTACATTTCCAGAATAATAAATCTGCGAAGAGGTCCCCGTCGTCATTTCCTGAATAATTCAGGACTCATGACAGTAACATGTCGCTACTGTCTACTTGCAGCTCGTATACAATGTCTGTACTCGTCGTCAGTAGATCCTTCTCCCCGGACCCATGATTGTTAAAATGACAAGTTGTGGCAGAATCAATATGAGGTCGCCGACGAAACTTCATCGCCTTTACTCCATGTGAGAATGTGAGAAGATGAGATCTGGATTGGATGAGGAGGAGGAAGAAGATGGTAAAGATGTCTGTTGTTTCTTCTGAAATTACACTCGGGATCGGACCCTTTTCCTTTCCTCTGTGCTTGTTCTGCCTTTAATGATTGGTTTCATAGACCCTCTCGTCAGTAAATGAAAAGGCTGGCCACGTTGTGTGATTTGTGAGATCTGGGGTTGTGTGTTGGTTGAGCCAGACAGAAAAGTACCAGTTACAGACTGGTTCACAGGGGAGGCAACCAGAAATATTCTCTGCACAAGAGTTACAGTTTACAGAGTTATTACTACAGAAAAATGATCTCTTTGCCTGAATTGTGTCAGTGCATGAAGATATGGAGTAGTAGTATGATGAATATGTTGCAGATGAAATTCAGTCAAGACACAAGTAGAAGTTCATTTGGTTGGAGCCTTTGGAGAGCATGTGATTAGGAGGTGGTTGATTAATTGTTCCAATTTCCAAACTGCTCTCTTCGTCTAGCTGAAGTAGTTCTTGTTCCTACTATCTGTTTGCATGAGGGTAGGTAGGTGAAGAAGAGAGGAAAAAAAAAACGCTGTAAAGTTGAAGCAATGGCGATGAGGCGACGAAGACCTACCCCTAGAAGGGCACGAAAGAAAGAGGTGAGCTTGTAAATAATCGATGATTGCCAGGGAGAAAACAACAAGCAATGCCGGTTTCTGTTCCTGAAAGGTTGTGCTCAACACTGTTTCTGTACGCTGCACAGCTGCAGCTGGAAGAATTCCTTGCCTCTTATATGGATCCAAGGAGCAGAGATGTATGGGGATCCATGTGGCCAACGGGAAAATTGTTTCATTGACGGTAAAGGATGTCGGTAGGCTGATTTCTCTGATCTTGTGTTTCAGATTGGACAAAATAATCTCATTGTTTTCCTTGACAGGTAGCGACTAGCTTCGATTTTGCTATATATTTATTGATAAATTTTCTTTTAAAAAATTATCACACATAAATACGGTATAATTGTAGTGTAATTACATTATAAGTTGTATGAAACTATAATGTTACTTAATTTGTATGAAATTTTTGCATAATTTCAAACCGTTAGATTTATTTCATTCATGCAAGTTGGGAAGAAAAAAAATCATAACGGGTATACGGGTGAGGAGATTTGGTCTTGCGACCTCCACTTCATGAAAATAGCATGTTACTGTGGGATTTTTTAAAGTTATATACAATTTTATTATAGTTATATGCAAGTCATGATTGCACTATATTTATATCTGTTAAATTTATAGGAGAAAAAATGTCTACGGATGTACAGGTGACCGATGGGAGGAGCATTTACGTACTACTGATCTTGGTGAGCCCATCTAATAGTGGGCCAGGGGCGGTTGAATGGATAGGCCACTTTGGGCCGCCTGCTATGGCAGTCCATCTTGGATATTCCGTTCCTGTCCGAAATATTGACGGCCTATGGAGTTTGGTGTCAGGCTGTCAGCTTACGCGATGTGCGGAAGCTTAGCAGGCTGGGCCGTTTTGTGGGCCTCTTTTGCTTGTTCTGTGCAAAACAACACTAACAACATCTCCACTGCACCCATCTCTCTTGCAGGCTGCAGCCACCCATAAGTACTTCTTTTATAGGCAAAATTTACTAAATGACACTAAAAATTTGTGTAATTTATTGGTAGATATCGTAAAAGCGTGTAATTTATTTTTTACTGTAATGTTGTGTTTAAACCATGTGATTCTAGGGGCATTCTTGTCCTTCTCAAGAATTTGTCTTTACAATCGAGTTGAAAGTGTCATCCATCAAACAACCAGTTTCTTAGGATGTCTTTTAACCGTGACATAATTTTTCGATATCTATCATCAAACTACTCAAAATTTAGACGTCCTGTAGCAGATTTTACCTCTTCTATAATGGTTGAACCTACTGTTACTGCACCAACCAGCTAAACCCATGAATGCTGTTACGCACTATTTTGATAATTAACCAACTGTTTTTCATATATTTATATTTATAAGCTAAATTTTACTTCCTCCATTTCATGTTAAGTGCAACCATGAGTTTTCGTGTCCAACTTTAGTCGTTCGTCTTATTTAAAAAAAATTTAATTAGTATTTTTGTTTATATGAGATGATAAAACATGAATAGTACATTATGCGTGACTTATGTTTTTTATTTTTTTAAAAAAATCAAATAAAACGGATGATCAAAATTAGACACAGAAACTCATGACTGCACTTAAAATTGGATGGAGGGAGTAAAACATAACTATAGAACTATTTTTTATAGTTTTTGTTACAGTTTATTTTACAAACCTTTAAATCAGTAAAAACACATACATAAAAGTTTTGATATTTTTTTAAGGCAATGAACGAGGCCCAACGAATACTCTACAGAAGGATGTACAGTACAGTAGGAGGAGTCTATACTCTATACTACGCTCCGTACGCACATTGTTTGCGGCAGTCTTCAAGACAACTTTTTTTTTTTTACTGCCATGAAAGGAAGCAGGCTTGCGGTGAAAGAAAGTTGTCTGCCGATGACGATGCCAATGCCAGAGACTTTCGCACAGTACAGTAATCCATTGCGGTCAACTAGGGCCTACGGTCAACTCTGCAGGGTGCCAGGGTACAGGCAGATGCAGCCGAAAGCCGTTCAAAGGAAAGGAAAAATTACTACAAGCCGAGCAGAAACAAAGCTCTTTCAAGTTCACACTTCACACTAGAGGTGTGTTTAGGTGGTGTTTGAATCCAGTGACTTAACTTTAATTCACACTAATTTAGAGTATTAAATATAGACTACTTATAAAACTAATTATATAAATAAAAGCTAATTTGTGAGACAATTTTTTAAGCCTAATTAATCCATAATTAGATAATGTTTATTGTAGCATCACATATGCTAATTATAGATTAATTAAGTTATAGATTCGTCTCACGAATTAGTCCAAGATTATTGATGAGTTTTATTAATAGTCTACGTTTAATATTTATAATTAGTGTCTAAACATCCGATGTGATAGGGACTAAAAATTTTTAGTCCCATCTAAACAGGTTCTTACTTCACGCCAAAATTGGAAGTTTGATTGAAATTGGAATGATGTGACGGAAAAGCTGAAAGTTTGTGTGTGTAGAAAAGTTTTGATGTGATGGAAAAGTTGGAACTTTAAAGAAAAAGTTGGGAACTAAACCAGGCCTAGGCCTAGTTGGCAAAAATAAAAATTCTTTGATGTCACATCGAATGTAAAAAGTTTTTAGACACAAATGAAAAAAACTAATTTCATAACTAGCCTGGAACCGCGAGACGAATTTATTAAGCCTAATTAATCCGTCATTACCACATGTGAGTTACTGTAGCACTTATGGTTTATCATAGATTGTGTAATTAGTTTTTTTATCTATATTTAATACTCCATGCAAGCGTATAAAGATTTGATGTGACATTTTTAAGAAATTTTTTTTGAACTAAACAATGTCTAAAAGAAAGCCCAGTCACAATTTAAAACTTAATTTAGAACTATTCCAAGCATTTAAATTTTGAAAATTAATTCAAAATAATTCTAAGCATTTTTTTTCCTATTTTCAGCCTTGACCTTAAAATCACTAACGCAAAGTTCTTTTTTTCACCTTCCCAACTAATCTCTTGCTTTTCACGCGCACAGTTTTTAAATTATTAAACGGTGTGTTTTTTTAAAATATATATAAAAGTTTATTTTAAAAATGATGTTAATTGATTTTTTTTCAGTGTTCTAAGCTAATATAATTAATCACGCATTCAAAAGGAACACAGTTTGTCGTACCGGGATGTGCAGTAACTCCCAAACACAGCCGAAGAGTAGAAATATGAAAATCCTACCCAAAAAGCATTTCTCATCATCAGTGCTACAGTACCTATATGTGCTATTGACGGATTAATTAAATTTAATAAATTCGTTTCGCGGTTTTCATGTTAGTTATGAAATTAGTTTTTTCATTTATATCCGAAAACCTCTTCCGACATCCAATCAAAACGTCCGATGTCACAACAAAAATTTTCTTTTCGTGTCACCCTCATTTGTTTTTCTACGGTTTGTATTTGGAAGGTAACCAATGTGACACTGCATCAAGCAGTCAAATGTCAAATAATGGAAAATCAATCCATTTCCGTCTTCTGCATGCTCAGCAAGCTGTCCTTGCCTGATTGGCTCGATTCCCTCGGGTTTCCCTTGACCACTTCTGTCGGAGGCACATGTACTCCAGCTGCACGGTCGTTAGACGTCTGAAGTCTGATGTATAGACGGCGCACGTCTCCAGACCAAAATTCCAAACCAATCCAACAGAACATGTGTGTAGAAATTCCAAACCATTCCAAACCTTTGTTGGCCTCTCGGTCTCCATGTTCAGACTGATTAATTACCAACTGACACTAGCCTAAACTCTTTGACACTCGTTTCGAACTTTCGATCTCAAGTAGGATAAAAGGTAATATGCTCCGTGAGTCATTCCCAACCCAATAACTAGGATAATTTCCATAGTATTAAATAAGCTACCACCTAAAATAAAAAATAATGTGGTAAGTGAATAAATGAGAAAAAAAAAGAAACCAAATCTTGTATGAGATATGGTTTCTACATAATATACAAGATATTATATGAGATAAGTAGCATTAAATTTAAGTATGAAAAATAGTGTTTGTATTGAAAGAGTAGTGTCAAGTGATAGTTTCTCGATGAGGTGAGTTTATAGAAACTATATCTACTGTGGGACCGGCGTTAGTCGAAGCACACTGCACAAAACAGTAGTATATCAACGCGTAAACACCAATCATTATGGGCATAAAACCGTCATAAATAAAGCACACAGCATGTACTACAGTTAAGACCTACTCTTAGAAAAAAAAAACTATAGTTAAGACCCCTCCTGATCATTCTTGCTTCCTAGATAATCAGGGTGCCAACAGAAAAAGAACCACACGTTTCTACTCTCGAGTAATTGAATTCAATCAACAACTATTGGTGTTCCTGCAAATGAAGGCCTGGAAAATACTCTCGTGTAATTCGCTCATGAACACATGTCTGTATCACCCAGATAGTGCGAGATTAAATTCTAGCAGAACATGGCATCATCTACTCCACCATTACATTCCTATGCACCAACTGTTTTTGGTGTAGACGCAAAATATCAGCGACAGACAGAGAAGGGAACGTACTAGTTTGTATGTGATCAAACGCATCGTCTTCAGATCAGATCAGATCAGATCAGATGTTGGATTTCCAGTTGTACTTACGGCGACCAAAAAATATCTGATCCGGCGGACCCTCGTTCAGCGGCTCAGGCCATCTTCGGCTGTTACTGTTGGGAAAGAGCTAGCTCGTTCTCTCCTTGGCTACTACTAGTAGACTTGCGGAGTATTTCCGAACCGCTGCGTTCAAGATGGCAACGGTGAATTCACCATCGGGGGTCACACCCGCGTCCCCGTCATCGCGGTGAAAAAATTTCACCGTCCCCGTTCCAGTCAATCACGACGGGGCTACAATTTCTCCAGCCCCGATCACCACGTGGTGAACCCGTCCCCGGTTAAACAACAAATTCATCAACAAATCATATAAATGCAATGGAACACAAATCAGCAGTACATCACATTGATATTTTTCCAAAATAATATACTCAACAAACTACTGGTCATATCGACGGCGACGAACGGCGGAGGAATCAATGGCGGCGGATGGCGTGCTGGCCGGAGGCGGTGGGTGCCGCGACCACGGTCTGAGGCGGCGCGTGCGCGACGACGGCCGGAGGCGCTGGTCGGAGCGATGACGTCCGGAGGTGGCGAGCGCGCGTCGACGACGGCCGGAGACATCAGTCGGCGCGACGACGGCAAGAGGCGATGGGCGGCGCGACAATAGCCGGCGGCGGCACGCGTGCGTCGACGGCTGGGGGCAGGACCGCGCCCGCACGAGGGGAGACGACGGCCAGCGGCGCTATGCGCAGTGCCGCGGTGGCTGGGGAGATATTTGGAGATGGGGAGGGTTGATTAGGGTTAGAAGATATATATACATGGTTACTGAGCTTCATTTTTATGGGCCAAAACAACTGTACAGTCTAGAATTGGTCCCTAGCTACATTACATGCGGGTCACCGCGGGAGACGGGGATGGTGAATGGTGCACCGTCCCCGCCCCCGCCATCCCCGATGGTGATGAGTTTTGGACCATTAGATTCACCATGGGTGGTAGATATCAACCATCCCCATTCTCTAATATGTGAATTCATCGCGGGGAATCGATGATCAGGTCCCCATTGCCATCTCTATTCCTTACACAAGTTTTCCAAGACTTCTCTTTCGTTTTCCGCGTGCACGCTTTTCAAACCGTTAAATTGTACGTTTTTTTAAAAAAAGTTTCTATACAAAAGCTGCTTTAAAAAAATCAAATTAATTCATTTTTTTTTTAAAAAATATCTAATACTTAATTAATCACCTGCTAATGAATCACTTTTTTTTCCGTGCAGTGGAGTTAGTTCCCAACCCCAAGTATCAAACACAGCCCTATATAGAACTTTACTGATAATCAAATGAATTTAATTTTGTATTTTTTTAAAAAAAATAATATTTAATTAATCATACGCCTGATTATATATCTCGTTTGGTGTACCGCAATCGTTTCACGAGCCACGTCTGGTTCGAACAAAGCCTAAGTTTTTAAAAGTAAAATACTCCATCACACAAAGACTCATTTTTATCCGCTTCATTTGTCCAAAAACACTTAATCTTCAATACAATTAATATATTGGAGTTTAAAAAATTGATAGACAAATGTGTTAGAGTTTAAAAAATTGAAGATCAAATACATCGAGTAAACTCTTTATATCGGTATATGTGTAAAATAGGAGTAAGCAAAAATAAAATCTTTTTGGGTGAAGGTAGTACACTCTAATATCAAATTAATACGACTTCCATTGTAAAATATAGTATTCTTGTATTTTCTCCAAACTAAAATGAAATGTGACATATTTTATAATAGAAATCTGAGTTTCATCATATCTAGAATCAAATTACTAAGATATGTCGTATCTGTACTAATTTTTTTTGAACGAAAAAGTACTATATATAAAAGTAAGAACGCGTAGAAAAAAAATATAGGGCCTCATCTTTTCGCTTATGCTTATACTTATTAGTCAAAATTAAAAAAATTAACCTTAAATTTAGAGCTGATTCGTTAGGAACGTGTAGGGCTTGTTTGGTTTAGTGCTGTACCAAAACATTGGTAATGCCAAACTTAGGCATGTTTTGGTACTACCAATAATTTGCTAGGGTAGAATTCTTACTAATGTGTTTGGATTGATATGAATTGAGAGCCAATTTTTTTTATGGTAAAGAAAGTTCTAGAATTATACCAATTTTAGCATGGGCATTACCATCTATTTGTATTAAACCAACCCATCATATTTACTATTCAAATTGTATAAAAAAAATAAGCATGGCACATTTTAATATCAATCTAAAGTGACCCGTATTTTTAAGTAAAGACCGAGATATTATATTTTATTATAAAAAAAGTGATCCGTATGTAAAAGTTACCCATGGCTCCGCTATATGTACAATATGGACAAGCAAGCGAAGCAAGACAATCAGAGCAAACACAGTAGCAGTAGTATGTAACGTTATCCGAGCTACTAGTAGTAGTGTTCCAGTACGTGACTGGCTGTGCCTTTCCTAGTGGAGGCCCACACCACACCCACGAAACGTGTCCCTGATTCCCCCGCCTCCAACGAACGACTTGAACCTTCCAGAACAAACCAAATCCATAAAAAAAGACACGGAAACTTCTCGCACTTTCCCCCACCCATTCTCCCACCTCCCGCACGCAACCCAACCCTCCCTCCGTCCGATCTCCCGCGCGACGCCCATCCAACCGCCGGTCAGTCGCCGTGACACGACCGACTTGCTGTGTTAGCCCCTCTTTAGATTCCACGCTAAAACTTTACCCCCTTATTAAGCGAACATTTGAACATATGCATGAAGTATTAAATATAGGCTAAAATAATAACTAATTAACAGATTACGACTAATTTGCGAGATGAATCTTTTAAGTCTAATTACTCTAAAATTTAATATGGTGCTATAATAAACAATTACTAATAATGGATTAATTAAGCTTAATGAATTTATCTCACGGTTTATTGACGAATTCTATAATTATTTTTTATTAATGTCTAAATATTTTATACGAAAGTCTATATATAATGTCTGTTGAGACACGCTAAAATTTTACTACCCTAATCTGCACACCCCCATAGTTTATATCTCTCCCGCCTCACCCGCTCCCACCTCTCCTTCCGTTTCCTCTCATTAACTTCCTCTCTCGCTTCTTTTCTCCACGCCACGCTACCCGAAACTTCCAGAAGCAACCAGACACCACGGTGTATCCAGGCCAGATCTGCGCGGCCGCCGGCGGCGGCGGTGGCATGGCTGACCAGACCGCTGCTGCCGTTGTCGTCGGAGGAGGAGCGGCGGCGACGATGGGGGAGCCATCTCCACCTCCGCCGGCGCCGGCAGCGGAGGCGGCGGGGGTGGGGGTGGGGCAGCAGCAGAGGACGGTGCCGACGCCGTTCCTGACCAAGACGTACCAGCTGGTGGATGACCCGGCGGTCGACGACGTCATCTCCTGGAACGACGACGGCTCCACCTTCGTCGTGTGGCGCCCCGCCGAGTTCGCCCGCGACCTCCTCCCCAAGTACTTCAAGCACAACAACTTCTCCAGCTTCGTCCGCCAGCTCAACACCTACGTACGCCTCGCCGCCGCGTTTTCCTTTCTCTTTTCCGTTCGATTTCGATCAGCTCGACTAATTTTTGTCTCGGCCTCGCCGGAATGGATTGGATTATACAGGGATTTAGGAAGATTGTCCCGGACAGGTGGGAGTTCGCCAACGACTGCTTCCGCCGAGGGGAACGGCGGCTGCTCTGCGAGATACACCGCCGGAAGGTGACGCCGCCGGCGCCAGCGGCGACGACGGCGGCGGTCGCGGCCGCGATCCCGATGGCGCTGCCGGTGACGACGACGCGGGATGGCTCCCCGGTGCTGTCCGGCGAGGAGCAGGTCATATCCTCCAGCTCGTCCCCCGAGCCCCCGCTCGTGCTGCCGCAGGCGCCGTCCGGCTCCGGCTCCGGCGGCGTCGCGTCCGGCGACGTGGGGGACGAGAACGAGCGGCTGCGGCGGGAGAACGCGCAGCTCGCGCGGGAGCTCAGCCAGATGAGGAAGCTCTGCAACAACATCCTCCTCCTCATGTCCAAGTACGCCTCCACCCAGCAGCTCGACGCCGCCAACGCCTCCTCCGCCGCCGGGAACAACAACAACAACAACTGCTCCGGCGAATCCGCCGAGGCGGCCACGCCGCTCCCGCTCCCCGCCGTCCTCGACCTCATGCCTTCCTGCCCCGGCGCCGCCTCCGCCGCCGCGCCCGTATCAGACAACGAGGAGGGAATGATGAGCGCGAAGCTCTTCGGCGTCTCCATCGGCCGGAAGCGAATGCGGCACGACGGCGGCGGCGACGACGACCACGCGGCGACGGTGAAGGCGGAGCCGATGGACGGGCGGCCGCACGGCAAGGACGAACAATCGGCGGAGACGCAGGCCTGGCCCATTTACCGGCCCAGGCCCGTTTACCAGCCCATCCGGGCCTGCAACGGATACGAGTACGACCGAGCCGGCAGTGACCAAGACGGTTCAAACTCTACCTAAAAGTTGTGTGTTAGACCCGTCTCGTTTAATCAATCTACTCTAGCAATTAACTACTTCTACTCCTCGATAGAAAAAGAGGCAATCAACCTTGGGATTTACCTAGTCCCAATGTCTTTGTAGTGTTCTTTTTTACTTGTAGTATGTAGTACTCCTACTAGTTTTTTTTTTCAGATTATTATCCTTTGTATATATACTGCTGCTGCTAGTGAGAAGGCATAAAAGATCAGATCGAGTTCACTTGCTATTTCTAACCTTTTGTTTGGTCATAGACGGTGTGGAGATGTGAGATTTGGCTGCCGGATTAAGATATTCCAAGGGGGGGATTAGTGATGGCGTTTGTTGTGTAACGGGGAAAATATCTTGCCCACACGGCGCACCTACTAGAAGGTGCGAAAGCCACTTTTCTTCCAAGCCAAATCGGGGGTTTTGATTTTATTGCGATTTGGACAGTGACCTGTCCTGCCAGCCAGCCAACGGTCGAGACCACAGGATTCTAGTATGGGCATTTCGTTTCCCAGTTCAGTTTCGTTGTTGTTGTTGTTAGGAGCGAGTCAAATTAGTCAAAGACGTCGAGTAAATATCATTTTTAATTGACCTGGTTAAAATCATGTTAGTTCTACCGAACATTGATGGTTAATTTTTGAGTATTTTTTAAGCAACATAGAAGCAAAACGGCTGTCTGATGGTTTTGTGCCATTTTACACTTTACAGTTACCCGTTATTATATGATACAGTAAATTATAGCCAAAGGGAATGAGGTACAAGTTGTGAGGTGCTACTCTGATTTGAGTACTTGAGACCATTTTAGGCACGACTCAAGGTTGGAGGTCTCAAAGTTGATACTTGGCGCTCCATCTGCTTGTACAATGCAGGTTTACTATAAAGATTTGGGGCCTTATTACCTCATGGATGGTCTACCAATAGCTATATCGATTCAGGCTGTTTTTAGTTCCCTTCAAACTTTAAACTTTTTCGTCACATTAAATGTTTGGACATATGCATGAAGCATTAAATATGAAAAAAAAAGCAATTACACAGTTTACATGTAAATTGTGAGACGAATCTTTTGGCCTAACTACATCATGATTTGACAATGTGTTGCTACAGTAAATATTTGCTAATGACGGATTAATTAGACTTAATAGATTCATCTCACAGTTTATAGGCGAAATCTCTATAATTTGTTTTGTTATTAGTCTACGTTTAATATTTCAAATGCGTGTCTGTATACGTTAAAAAAGTTTTAGACGGAGAACTCAACACGGCCTCAATGGAGATCGACACAGAACATTCAAAACTGGTGGGAGACAAATACAAAGGAGTGCCCAAGAAAGATCTACGCACACTAATTCTCCTGATTGTCTAGGAGACCTGGAACGAGAGAAACCCAGCGATATTGCAGCTCCGAATCTACTGAGAAAGATTAAGCAATGACTTAGGCTCTAGTAGGAGTATAGCTGCTACAGGATTGGAGCTATTACCTAGTAACTTTGTATACTCTATGGGTGTGTTTGGAAGATAGGTTAGGAGAGGTTGTATTTTCTCCTCTTTATTTAAGGAAAAAACACAATCTCATACTTTTTTTTTCAAAAATTGATACTCCAGCAATGATTTAATCTTTTCTTGAGCTATAAACGTGTCCTCCTCACATTGCTCATATTTTTTCCCTTTTGAAAGTTCACGTTGTCTCACACCTACGATCCATGGCTGCCATCCTCAAGTATGCTTCATGGTGGCCATGCAGACATGATGTACCTTTACCGTGTACGATGTAACAAAGAGTGTGGAGCCAAGCCGAGCAACCAGGACAAGAAAGATGTGAGCACTGTGTCGTTTAATCCTCTCTCTCGAATTCTCGGAGTTCATTGATCCTGACAAAAATGCAGTTAGGCTGTGTTTGGATCTAAAGTTTTTTTTTTCAAACTTTTAACTTTTCTATCGCATTAAAACTTTTTTACACACACAAACTTTCAATTTCTCCGTGACATTGTTCCAATTTCAACCGACTTTCAATTTTAGTGTGAACTAAACACATAGCTTCTTCGACGGTGGGTTGTTCTGATTTCTGAATCTCTGCAACTGCACGGCCGTCAAGTTGTGGGGGCTGTGCAAGAATGGCGGCGCGACCGTCGTGGCCATCGACGGCCTCCTGCAGGTCACGTTCAGTTGCGTACTTGCGTCAACAACCTCCTGGTCACCGGCGCCGGCACCCTCGACGCTGGACGAGAGTACGAGACCAACTCCCTACCCAGGCCACGACGGTGAGATCTTAGGGTTTGTTTAGTTACTGAAGTTTGAAGAAAGTTAAAAGTTCGGAAAAAAAAGTTAAAAGTTTATGTGTGTAGAAAAGTTTTCGATGTGATATATGATGTGATGGAAAGTTGAGAATAAAGCGGAAACTAAACACGGCCTTATTAAACTTATCGATACTAATTTACTCAGATTATCTCCTCTTATGAAGAAAGTAGTGGGGAAATTCTCGTACATCCTGCAGATTCTGAAGTTGGACGGCGTGACGAGAACACGGTGATAAGAGCGGCGGACATGAGACGCGGGGATTCCACATTTCCGCGTCTCCATGACATTGTTATGGCCGACGTGTCTACAACCCCATCATATTTTGAATTCAGGTTGTCTAGCCCACCACCTTATATAGCTAATCGGAAGATCCACGGGCGTTTCTCGACCAACATTACTCCTCGATAGCCGCCCATGGCAAATGCTCCAACGCCGCCAAGGTGACAAGAACAGAGCTTTCCATTGCCAATTCGCCGTTGTTCTTGCAGCTACCTCTGGTGCAGATCAGCGAGACGTGACGTCCGAGAGGATCAACGGCACGCCGAACAGCAGGAGGAAGAACCAGGTCGATCAATCAGTCTCAGTTGTGACCAAACGCCGGCTATAATGCAGCGCAAAGAACAGCAACGACGTGCCAGGGATGCCCAACTCGTTGGGCCAAGCACCCAGCCCGGTCGCCTGAGCAAGACGCTGATGTCAGAGTACTCCAACACTGAACAAATTCAAGTAATTGAGTTTTGTTACTCTGGTGTTCAAGTAATTGAGTTTTGTTACTCTGGTGTGTTTGGTTCACGTTTAAATTGGAACGATGTGATGAAAAAGTTAAAAATTTGTGTGTAGAAAAATTTTGATGTGATGGAAAAGTTGGAAGTTTGAAGCAAAAGTTATGAACTAAACCAGGCCTCTGATGATAGAGAGTTAAGGGCCGGAAGAAAATTATTAATTGAGCGGCGAAGTGAGCGTAGCTTAACTGATTATATTTTTTAGGTGACCTATCTGGGTTCAAGTGTTAGACTTGATACTGATGCTTATATAGTTATATTTACGACTAATTATTCTTTTAGTGGTAAGTGACATACCCGTCGACTATGAGATACCTATAATGACTTTATTAATCTCAGTATATATATCAGTTCAGTTTTTTTAAGGTGATTATATAGATAAGATACATGCGTGTATATTCGTAGGGACGAGTGTGTGCGTGTTGTGAGCACATGCGCATGTGTTGTACTATGTTTAAAAAAATATTAATTGTATTTATAGGATTTAAATTTGTCCCAAAATAATTGTCACAATAGAGTACTCGTAATCTCATTAATCATTTCTCATTTAAAATATTTCTAATTTTATCCTCAACCACCCATCCACTCTTACCTACAAATCATTTAATAAAAGACGTCACAATCTTTTTTCTTAAATTTTAATATATGCTAAACTATTTAGAATTATAATTATTTTGGGATGCATGTAGTAAGTCTACTTTTAACATCCGACTCGTTTGGAAGTAACTAAAAACCTTCAAAACACTACACTACTTTGTCATTAGAAATTTTTAAATGCTCATAATAAAGTTGGGTGGCACAAACCTCTCTTCATAATAATTTTTACTAAATGCTTAACAAAATCCTATCTCCTCCTGCCTGTCACCGGTCACCGACCGATGGTCCCCGCAATCCAATCCAGCCAGCCAGCCTCGCATCCCCCCCTCCCCCACTCGCCGGCGACCGCTGCCGTCGCCGTCGTCCACCTCATTCCCCACCTCGTGCCTCGTCTCCCTTCCAAGCCAAGCCAAAAACCCCTCCACGAGCCGCGCCGTACGCCATCGCCAACCACCACTCCACTACTACTTCCCCCCACACTCACTCACTCCACTCCCACCACAGCAACCGCTTGCTTTGCTTCGCCCATCTGAGCTATAATTAGCTCGAGGAGAGAGCCCTAACCCGCCGCGCCATGGCGAGCAGCAGCGGCGAGGGGAAGGGTGCCGGCGGCGCGGGGTACCAGTACGCGCCGTACGGCGGGTCGTACTACGACGAGGAGCGGCGGTGGTGGCCGTGGCTCGTGCCGACCGTGCTCGTGGCCTGCATCGTGGTGTTCCTCGTCGAGATGTTCGTCAACGACTGCCCCCGCCACGGGAGCCCGCTCCGCGGCGAGTCCTGCGTCGCCGGCTTCCTCCACCAGTTCGCCTTCCAGCCGCTCCGGGAGAACCCGCTCCTCGGGCCCTCCTCCGCCACGTACGTAACGCTCCTCCTCCTCGCTGCTTGCCATTTGATTCGATTCCCCGTTGCGCAATTGAGCTTGGAAATTGGGGGGAATTTTAGGTCCCGTTCGAATCCACTAAAAAAAGTGGATTTAGTCAAGCGTGTGAAGCTGGCGTCTTTGTCGTTACAGGGGATTTCCTTTTCCGCTCCAGGTGTCTAGGAGATAAAAGAGAGAGAGAGAGAGAGAGACTGCGATGGCGACTACTTGGATCTTTTCAACTACCGTTTTCGAAAGAGAAAATTACAAAACCTTTAGCAGCATTGCATTAGATTATCTTGTGCCATCTATACATCTGATGGAGTATTAAGATTTATTATGCTTTGTGCCTTCGTAGAATGGAGCAATGCAAATTCTGGAACAATTCGGTTGGCACAGGAATATTTTATTCTTACATGATTTGTCTACTAGTAGTGTTTACGTCACTTGCAGGTTTCCCAAATTGCAGTCGTGAAATGTAGGTAGTATTTTTATCAATTAGATTATTAGAATTAGGTGATTGGCTTTTGTATTGGTACTACTACCCCTTGCAATCCAGGATTATGGAGGAGTGACGTTTTTTTTTTCCAACACATGTTAAAAAGGGTGAATTTTGTTTGTTCTAGCCTGCGAATTTCATCACATCGGAAGCTTTCTGAGGACTACATTATCTATCTTCATTGATGCATACTGTTCTGTAATACGCCTGTGCAGTTTATTTATTTTGATAGTGTTAAGAACAAGGGGGGTTCTTAGTGCTAACAAGTTGTTTGCTCCATTGGCCAGTTTGGAGAAGATGGGAGCACTAGACTGGGCGAAGGTTGTTCATCAGCACCAAGCATGGCGTCTCATTAGCTGTATCTGGCTACATGCTGGCCTAATCCACCTGATTGTCAACATGCTAAGCTTGCTATTCATCGGACTCCGTCTTGAGCAGCAATTTGGGTTTGGTAAGCTTCTACAAGTACAGAATCGGTCCTTTTTACCCTCAGCACAGCATACCGTTTCTGTTTGAAGCAACTTGGTTTACTATCTTTATACATGATCGTCCCGTCTTTTATTTGCAATTGAGTTCTCCGAGGTAGTTTTGACTTGGCACTTTTAGAAGTACTTGTCGTACCCTATGTTACTCATTATTCATATTCATATCAGAGTCTCAAACCCATATATTACCATTGTGTTAAAGCCAATTAACTGGTTAGATTGCCATGTTATCATTTTGTAGGCATTACTTACAATGCAAGGCCATTGTTCTCACAAATTTGAGAATGACTTTATCTTCTAGTCTTCATATAAAGATGTAGTCAATTTACATATGTCTATATTCTAAATATTGGACCCATAACTTTCATATGTCAATGTGTACCCATTTCTCATTTTGAGTTTGAATCTGGTAATGTTCCTGCACACTGACAACAGTTTCCTTACTTACTAGTGCGTATTGGAATCATCTACTTGCTATCTGGCTTTGGCGGTAGCGTGCTGTCTGTGCTGTTTTTACGTAATAACTACATCTCCGTTGGTGCCTCTGGAGCTTTGTTTGGCTTACTTGGGTCTATGCTCTCCGAGCTTATTATGAACTGGACTATTTATTCCAACAAGGTCAGCAGAACAGAGACTGTACCTATATTGTTTACTCCAATTCAGTTGTTCCCTGCAAGTTTCAGTTTGTTCACTCTTGCAGGCAGCGGCAATCATAACTCTCCTGTTTATAATTGCAATCAATTTGGCGATCGGGATACTACCTCACGCTGATAACTTTGCACACATTGGTGGATTTGTGACTGGATTCCTTCTTGGGTTTGTCCTGCTGGCAAGACCTCAATTTGGTTGGATGGAACGTCATGAGTTGCCTCAGACTAATCAACCACGAAAGTACAGAGCATACCAGTATGTTTTGTGGGCTGTTGCACTCTTCTTGCTGCTAGTTGGGTAAGTCTCTCCACTTCATCTAAAAGCACAGTGCATGTGCATAGTTAATACTCGTTCACATCTCACTTTTGTAGTAACAAAAGCATAGCGTCGACATATGCAATGCTATAGACTGACATAAAATAGCTTGAATAAGCAACAGTTTGACAATTCATCAATAAGAAGCTATACCTGAAACCTGACAGAGGTGAATTACTGATGCAGGTTTGTGATTGCCCTGGTGATGCTTTTCAAGGGGAAGAATGGAAACGATGGTTGTCACTGGTGCCACTACCTGAACTGCATACCAACATCCAGATGGAAGTGCAGTACTTAGATGCTTCAGAATTCCGTTAGCTCTTCTCCAAATTACAAATATTCTTCGGGAACCATTTTCAAGCTTGTGTGCTTGTAGATATCTACAAGAAATTTGCCACAGAGTCGAATTCTGCCCTTTCCAAAGTGTAGTACAATTTTCTGCTTTGTAATTTGAGATTGTAACAGCTGTTTATTTCAGCCCAACTCCATACTGCATTGCTCAAAAAATTTGTGATGTTCAATTGGATTCTCTTATATCATCTAAAGTTCGAAACAATGTTAATGGTTATGGAGTCTAAACATTCTTCTTTCAAAGTTTCAAGGCCTTCTCTGGAAGACTAGAATGTGGGAGTTTCTACTGGTCTAATGGAATTAAACCAATTCATATGAAACTAGTAATAAATTGAAACTAGTAATATGCCCGTGCTAATGCTACGATAAAAATTGATATTGCAAATAAAACACCCAAAACATTGGTACTTTCAGCAATGGAACAGATAGTTAAAAAGTTTACGTTAGCACTGAATTTTTTTCGGCAAAATATTATGTATTACATTTTGTAGTGGGTACTAAATACGCACACAAGACAAGCCATTCCTATTTTAGACAGAAATCAAGCTCCACTGTATTTTCCTTTGAAGTTAAAAAATGGAAAATAAACACAACTTCTCAGCATGCAACCAGAGGACAATATGGAAAGAAATAAATGATTGCAGTGAAACCTCATTTTTATTTCCATACAAAATAAAAATTAATGTAAAAATCAGAAATTCACTGAGCAGAACCACATCAATATCTTTACATTAGATGAACAATATCTTTACATTGTTCTTAATGAAAATACATCAATATATATTGTGGTAACACCTAGGAGGTTCAATAAATAAAATAACTTAAGATCTTGCAACATGTGTCACTAATATTTAACAAAGTGGAACAATTGCCATGTAATTTGTCTATTCTTCACTTGGAGGTTGGTGATGCTCTGGTAGCTGGTAGCTGGCAATTGAGTGAAAATAGCTATAAGTGAAAAGATTTGCCATATTCTCACCAACCTTAAAGTGCAAGATAAAATGTTATTTTGCAAGGTAATATGTATCAATTGTGATGAAAAGAAAAATTCTCAGCATGGAAATTAAAAAGGATGCTTCTCTAATGCCACCTTGGATCCTTTGGAATAAGATCATTTCAAACAATTTATTCTCAAATGGTTTGCAGAAAAAAAAACAGTACCAAGCTAGCGCCAACATGGCCTTGCATGACACAGACACACTCCCGGTGTTCATGGAAGTCGAGGCAAATTATCATGGGGTGTGCAATATCTCAGCACCTTAAAGCACCATAGCCCTTGCAATCTTTAAGCTTGACAAAATATTGTCCCTCAAATAATTCCTAGGTGACATACATTCTAAACACAGAACTAAAAACTGGAGTCATTACCTCACTTCTTTTTTGAGAAAGTAGTGATCAATTGAAGTGAAAAATATTCATTCAAACTCATTTGTTTTTCTGAATCAATGATCACATAAAAATGGTTTGTTGAAGTTCAGTGATCCAGCACTGTAAACAATATTTATTTTCTCATAATGAGGAGAAAGTTGTTTACTTTCCAAGACATAACTGCACAACATCTTCTCGTTACTATTGTACATAACTGCACAACATCAGAACCCGAAACACTTCCTCGTTATGCGTGCGTGGAAAATCACTTCTCAAACTGCTGCAACGAACGTTGTCAAGCAATCTCCAGTATGGCAGTATGTGATCTTTGGTGATATCCAAACCTAAGCAATTAAAAAACCAGCAGACTCCGAATCAGCTCCAAGAAACTGTAGTTCAGAATGGAACTCAAACAACACCGAGAAAGATTTTTTAAAAAAAATTAGGAATATCAAGTGAATCAGGAATGGAGTATGTGTGCTGTCAAAAAATAATGTCATTACAAAGGAACAACTAAATCTTTGATGTGGTAGTAGTACAGGTCTTACTTTAAATATTTCCAAGGCTGAAATGAACCAAAACTTCTGCAATGTATTGATTGTTTTGCCTCAGGTTGAGCGATTAAGGATAGCAGATCTGTTGACAAACAATATGGGTAAGAGTTGATGTCAGGAGACCATACCACCAATATATTGCCCAAAATTGGATATTTTTGCAAATACACGGTTTTCAGATAGCAAATAGTGCATGCGGCATTAAATCTAACAATTTCCCTTTTCTTGAGAGGGAGAGAGATTCTATTACATGCAGTACAATATACACATTTGGTGATTTGATAATATAAATCTGTTATTTGTTATATAAATTTCAGTATATACCCCTATAGGAAATAAAGCAGCATATACCATCTCTATAAAGAAAAATGCAGTATATATGCTCGTAATGGTGAATAAAAAAATAGCACATAGGGAACATTGCAGTAAATACTTCTGTATATAAAAAATCAGTATATGCATTTACAGGAAACATTCAGCATATGCATCTACAGGAAAATTTAGCATACAAATCTGAAAGCATGCAAGGACTGACCTACAAAATATCCATATATAGAAACATAAAGATATTAAATCTAATGGTCTCCTAATAAACCACTGGGAACAATAAATCTAATGGTCTCCTAATCAACCACTGGCAATAAGTTTTGGGGCATACTTTTGACTCAAGTGATAAAACGATTCTCCTCACCTGCAAACGAGTAGAAAATTTTAGACACTGTGAATGATCTTGCATTAGAAAAACACCTGTACTAACCTGCTGCTTTGCCACATGTACGTGAATACTCTGCTGCTCTCCTTCAGATGTGTTCATCACATCGGGTCAAAAGAAACCCAGATGGCAGCCGGGCTGATGTGGTGACGATGGCGGAATTCAACAAGTCAATATATCCTGCAACGAGGAAAACAATGGTGTCAACTGTACATCATTGAGCAGACAGACAAACAAATCAACATGTTGTTGATGAATGTCGCAAGCACAGATTGTCATGGAGGAAGGCGTGCGACGGCGATGCAGATCCTGGTGATGCAGCGTGCGACGGCGAACAGGCGGCAGGATGGAGGGGAGGGGCGGTGCTGGGTTGGGCGTTGGCGGCGGGGGTGGACGGGGAGGAATGCGTGCGACGGCGACGGCGGTGGCGTTGATCTGGCCGAGGGATGGACTCGAGCGGGGAGGGGCGGCGGTGGGTGGGGCGTCGGCGATAGGCGGGGCATCAACAGCGGTGTCTGTGGGTGAGAAGGGAGGAGATCACCGGTGGAGAGGCGCAGGTGGCCAGAGGGTTGACGGGATGGGGGCGCTGTGCGGCGAGGTTGGCGTTTGGCGGAGGAAGATCGGGGACTCCCGTCGATCCGGCGGTGCCGCAGGTGGAGGTGCCGCCGTCGGCCGGGGAGCGGCAGTAGGGGGAAGGGGCGCGAGGGGTGGATGCGCGAGCGGAGGGGGTGGTTGGCGGCTGAAGGGATGGTGGCACCGTGATGTGCGGAGCAAAAGAGGAGGCGTGGAAGGAAACAAACCAATTTTCTGCCCGGTGACTACGCGTGTGCGCGATCTCCCTCCCACCGTGTGACCCCGCGCACGCTGCTATCGTTGGATCCGAAGCATTGGATGATTTTCAGCCGTTGGATTTGATGAATGAAGTATGAAGGATGTAAAAGCCGGTTGGTGAATTATAGGGTAGAATAATGTAAATTTTTTGCGTTCCAAGTGGAGGCATGAGAGCATGAAATCCGACGCTAAAATTTATAACGTGATCGAAGATGTTTACATGGGGCGTGTTTGGTTGCCCGGCTCGTACTTGGCTCGCATCTCGGATGCAACTTGTAGGATGTTTGGTTGACTGTACATGTCCCACAACTAAGCCCAGCGGATGCAAAAACTCCCTCGCAGGCAGGCTAAGGAGGAACGGCCGAAACGAGCTTCGCTGCTTGTCCTGGCTCCACGCATGCAGCCGCGCTGCACACACGCGTGCAAGCGCCGCACCCGCGCATGCAGGGAGAGGCGATGGGGTCACCAACACCAACCTGCCTCCCTCCTCATTTCTTCCGTCTTCTCTCTTCGCTATCGCCGGCCACAGCCACAAGTTGCGACCATCTCCATCTCCACCAGCCAGATCTAGCTGCAAGTCCTGCTCCTCCGTATTTTCTTCAACAATGGGCCACGAAGAGCTCTCCGCAAGTGGATCCGAAGGGCATGAGCTCACTACTGCCAGATCTACCAGTCTGGTAGCGTTGAATATGGCGGGTGCTCATCACCACTTTCCTCACCCCAGAGAGAAGGATGAGCTCGGCTCCAACTTCTTCATGTCATTGTCGTCGTCGTCGTTACCAGCGCCACCACCTTCCTCGTCGGCTTGAGCTCGTCGCTGCACGAATGCCCCCACCGCAGTCGGCAGCTACCTTGAATCTCTCTCCTCCTCACCTTTCTTTCTTTTTTTTTTTGAGAACACTTCCTCACCTTTCTTTGGCCGGATTCAGAATTAACCTAGGAACTTAGGCCCGCCAGATCCAAGTAGCCACAAGCTCCTGACCGCCAGACCCGCTGCACCCACGGCGGCGAACATGCCTGGCTGGGTGGCACGAGCGGCTAGCTACCGGCGGCGACAAGCTCCTCTGCGAGCTCTCTTATCATTTTCTTTTTTTTCTTATTCTTTCTTTTTTCAACCGAATGTTATTAATCACTAATAAATATACTTGATTTACTGCTGTGTGACCATATATGCTTTTGACAGTGTCTTAAATTATTGTATATGCTCATCTGACAGTGTCTTAAATTATTATCGCCAGGAACTCCAATATCAATTTTTTATACATTCTGCTTATATTAAATCTGCTACAATATACCGTAAATAAATAGCTTTTACATGATAAGAATTTTCACTCTCAAAGAAAGTAAGTACTCGAACCTACTTTCCATACAATCAACCAAACAAAATCTCTTTCAAACCGTATCTTCGATGCAAGCAACCAAACAAAATCTCACTATAATCCAGCTAAACCAATACAACCAACCAAACAGCTGCATGTGTATCTACTTGGCCAGGCTAAACTCGGTCTGGACGAGAGAGATGGGCCAGGCTAAGAAGATGCGATCAACCAAAACACACCCAGGAGATGGGCCAGGCTAAGAAGATGCCATCAATCAAACACACCCATGGTTTCACATCGGAGAAGGCAAGGTATATTCGACTAGGGGCAGAGGAGGTGCAGCAAAAGTGCTTTCTTTTGTGCCTTCTTTTGCTTCGGGGAGATGCCTCGCTTCTCTCCCTTTCCTCTTCCACAAGAAGATGGGCAAAGCAGCGAGTGTAGTATTTTACCTCCATGCCCCTAACACTGCCCCGGCACTGCTTCGGCTTGTTCCTACCCTTCGGAGGGTAATAACGTAAATGAACCTAGCCTAGTGGGCTAAACCGCTAAAGCAGTTCACGGCCCACGGCCCAACAAACCTTAAACTACGGGGAAAAGAAAAGAAAAAAAAAAGAACTCGCAACTTGTCGAATTAAAATTCTTCACACACACACACGGCCTCGTGGCTTCGCGACTCCTCCTCCTCTTCTCGTCTTGGGTTTCTCTCCCTCCTCCTCGCCGTCGCGTCGCCGCGGAGGCGGAGGCGGAGAGCCAAGGCCGCGGCGGTGCAGCCGCCCTCCCCTCCTCCCGCCGCCATGGTGAGGCCGACGCAGGACGCGATCGACACCTTCGTCGGCATCACCGGCGCCGATGAGGCCGTCGCCGCCCGCAAGCTCGAGGTGACGCCCACCCGCTCCGTTCCCGTTTGTTCCCCCCATCACCCCCCCCCTTCTCCTCCCTTCACCGTCGCCATTCTACGCCTCGGAATGTGTGGGGCTTGGATGCGTCGGGTCTCGAGTTAGGTTTGTTGTGTTAGATGGCGTTGCGCTGCGGCGGGGGATGGGTGGTGCGGGTGCGATGCGCGATTTGCGGGAGGTGATGAGAACGTGGGGGGGGGGATGGGGTTCTAGGGTGTTTAGAGTTGAGAACATTTTGGGGATTGGGGATTGTGTGGTGCAATGCCTTCGAATTTTGAGCTTTTTAGTGATGCATATGCTCTTAGTTTTCTCTTCAGCTTGCGCGGTCAGGAATGCTGAACACATTAGTGGATTAGTTTATGGGCATTGCTATGGGTACGATTGTGAATTGTCGATTCACGCGGTAGGACATCCAACTTTGTTTATGTTATGGAACTTTGTTGACACAATCCTACTTGGAGTAAGAGTTGGATGGAGTAATTCCTATTTTAATGTTTTTTTAGGGAAATCCTATTATAATGTCTTGGTCTTCCATTTTGTAGGAAGACCGCTGTTGTCACTGAATGGTTTAATAAATGTTTGCAGATCTGCTTTCTGTAATTTTATTGAACATTGATTTATCTATCGGGCAAGATGGTCTTTATTGATCAATAGTCTTTGTGAGAACAATTTTCAGATTATGGTCCATTGAGTTTAAGCATGAGAAAATTACTTTATTCAATCTTTATGTGGATTTTTGACTAGTACAGCAAATAAGCATTCTGCTTAGTGAATATTTGGACAGGTTAGTTATATTGTTGTTGTTGCAATAACTCTTGCCAATCATTGGTCTGTTTGGAAATGCTCTGTTGGAGTGCTGAGTGAAGTACTGCTTTATACTTGTTTCTTCTGGTTGCAGTAGGAATAACTTAGCATAGTACCTTCTGCACCTCTGCCGAAGATGCTGAATCAGAGTCTGTTGGGCCTTAGCCTCTTTCTTCTTCAATTATGAGTTTGGAAAGATTGTTATCTTATTTTGTTAGGAATCATATATATTAGGATCCTTATTACAACTCCTCTTTATATAAAGGAAATATCAGGAAGAAATAATGCGAGCAAAGTATTACGCTACTTCTTCTGCCTCTCTTCCACTGCATTTCTTCTGCCTCTCTTCCACTGCATGCTTCTGCCCTTTTCCCCGTTACCCTTGAGTACTACTTCTTCCGTTCTGAAATATAAGCATATCTAGGATTCAAATTCTGTACACAATATAAGGATTCCTAGAATACTTGTCCCATTAATCACCTTTCATTCAAATTGTCTCCCCATCTTACCACAACCACCCCTCATTTAATCAGGACACTATATTCTTCTCTCCTCAAAACTTAATCTATGCTAAACAACCTAGAACTGCATATATTTGGGAATGGAGGGGGTACAACACACAGAGGCATACACAAAGTCCTTACACAAGTAGATATTTCAAAACGAATTTCTAACTGACTAAAATCATTCTACCAGGAACATCATGGTGACCTAAATGAAGCTGTGAATGCCTATTTCAATGAAGGAGATAGGACCAGGTACGTGTTTTTTCTCCTAGCGGTTCTTATGTGCATTTATTGACCTGATACCATGTTGTTCCCGTTGTTATATTTAACTGACTCATACAATTTTCAGCACCAGAGCCAATGAAAATCCTATACCTACCGGTTATGATGACATGGAGTTGGATGAACCATTTGGTCCTGTTCCTACATTTCACATGCCTTTGGGCAACCCTTTTTCACTTCTGGATCAAGGTTTTTTAGAACGAGCTGCTGCTGTGTATGGTGAGGGACCTCATATTACACACCCTAGGGAGGTGAGGCGGATAGATGTTGAAGTTAAGGACAACAATACTCCAGCAGGTAGTTCTGGTCATGGTCCTGTTATTGAAGATGTTACTGGACATGAGTTTTCACATGGGCCGGAAATTCGTGGGACTGTTCTGATTGATGAAGATGATGATGATGATAACTTGCCATCTGCTCAAGATACTCGTCTCCCAAGCAATCCTTCAACTTCAAACTATTCTGTACCAAGAGCTCCTCCAATTGCTAATGTTAGTGACTACAACAATGACATAGAAGAGGAGATGGTTCGCGCTGCAATAGAAGCATCAAAAAGGGACGCAGATGGACTGACAAATGTAAGACTGCTTATCAGATATCTACTTTTAAAAATTTGGAACCTACACATCTTTTTTATCAAAACATTTGGTACTATGCAGGGTCTAAGAAGTGGAGAACGTGAAAATGCATCACGTGGCAGAGATGATGATGAGATTGCTCGGGCGGTTTCTATGTCCTTGGAGGTAGTTGTTGAACACACAAAGTTCTGTTTTTATGTGTTCTGTTTTTTGTGTGTTATGCTGAATTCATTTTTTTTTGTGACTATTTAGACAGCAGAACAAGAGAGAGTTCTGCGCCAAGTGGGAGCGCATGTGTCTGATCATTCTGATTTATCCGATAAGGAAGACATTGAAGGAGCAACTGGGACAGTGGAAAGGTGTCCATCAAATATATTGTCTAACAATCTATGCATGTGTGATTTTTCATTATATTTGGTTATTCATATATCAAGTTTTATTAGGTTCCTAGTTACTCAATGTCCATTGTTCCATGAATCTTGAGTTCTCTTAATGGTTTCAGCTTCATAAAAGCAATGCATTCTTGCAGCTGCACCTACCATATTCTTTGGATATCTTTTTTGTTATTAAGTTTGTTGTGATTAGCTGAGCATGAGCTTCTTCTATCTAGTTGTGACTGATTCATTGTACATATTATTTCTTGTTGTAGGCAAGTACCAACTTCAGGGAAAGTTGGAACATCTGATCAGTTGGTAGATGAAGAGAATTTCCAGGATGATGACGTTGAGGAACATTCTTTTGTTAGACAACACTCTAGGCGTGTACCATCTGGAAATGATGAGTCCACAGAAGCACTTGAAAGGGCCAACAGTCATCCATCCAGTCTCCTCCCTCATAACATTGAAAACAATCAGCAGTTCAATGGAGTTTTTCCATCAGAGGTGGTATTTTAATCCATCACACCTGTAATGAGATAGAATTTAACCATACTACAGCTTCTTCACTGCTTACAAACCCGTTAATTTTTGTTGCAAAGTGGGGTGGCATTTCTTCTGAAGAACATGATGAAGCTGTTATGCTTGAAGCTGCAATGTTTGGTGGAATTCCTGGAAGAGCAGCATATCCATTTTCTCTCCCGTATCATCAAAACTCAAGTCGCTACCCCACGGTTGCTCATCCTCCGTCACCAACATTAACTGCACAACGGTTGTTAAGGGAGCAGCAGGTATAGACTTTGGAGTAGTATCTATCTGTGGGATAACATAACAACGGCTGCATGCAAGTATGTTAACCTGGTGTTTGAATTGTAGGACGATGAGTATCTAGCATCTCTCGAAGCTGACCGAGAAAAAGAATTGAAGGCAGAGCAGGAGGCTGAGCTCCGCAGATTAGAAGCTGCTGCTGAAAGAGAAGCTGCTATTGCAAAGCAAAAACAAGAGGAGGAAGAAAAGCGAAGAAAACAACTCGAGGAAGAGGTAATTGAGTTAGTAGTTAGCGCGTTTGAGAGTTGAATGGATAGTAGTCATAGAACTGTTCATACATTAGTTATATTGGCATATAACCATGCTAATCATATCGTTATGGTTTATTAAATTAAAGTCATGCCACACTGTTGGCAGGCCAGTGTGCTTGATGAATTTTATCATTAGTGCAGATACGATTGCATGTCGGTAACAATGTCTGGATTGTTGCAAGTTATATTGCTTTACTTGTTTCTTATCTGGAGGACTTCTCAGACTAACTAACTCCTTAGGTCTGATGAGAAACATTCTTCTGTATTCTTCTGTAAATTATGTCATTAGTAGTAAGAAAAGGTAGTTAAAAGCTAGCACTATGATCTGACTGTGACCATCTTTACCATCTACGTAATATCAAATAAATGATAAGGAAGTAATTATGTGTCCTTTAGAACTTGCCTACTATGCCTTTTCCATGGTTTGTGTTATTTTCACCACACAGTGGTATATTGATTATGTTATTTATGGCAATGTGAGAATAGGAATTGGAGTCCAAGCTTGCAGCCAAACAAGCATCATTGCCAAAGGAGCCATTACCAGATGATGTAGGGGCCGTCACTGTTGTAGTTCGCATGCCTGATGGTCGTCGTCAGGGAAGGCGCTTTATGAAATCCGACAACCTTCAGGTAACATTCTTTTAGTTGCCAGAATACCTAATGAAACTCACTGGTATTCCCTCAATAAATTTTTGGAATTCTTGCAGGTCCTTTTTGATTTCATAGATATCTCCAGGACTTTCAAACCAGGAACCTATAGGCTGGTAACTTTGCTAACCTTTTCATTTTTTTCATGGTGTTTCAGGAATGTTCTATACACAGAAATCAGTGTAGTTTACCATTAACCTGTTGAAACTGGATTTGCACTAGCACAAGCTGGTTATTTACGCCAGCACAAAAAGAAAAAAAAAACGATGATTCTGCCTGCTTTTATGTCATTATGTGTCAGTTTATTTTGCTATTAGTGTTATCAAGTATCATGTACCATTCCTAGAATAGATCAATTTCTGAACTATGTGATTTTAAAAGATTTAACATCAATACTGGAGGTTGTCTGATAGTCAGCGTACTCATCCCGTTGAGCTAGGTCAGGATAATATGCCTGTGGCATGGTAGACTGTAAAGAGATTACATTGAAACCGCAGCACCAGCTATTTTTTAGCACTCACACAACATTTAGTGGGCATGCTTTTTATTTTCATTCCTCTGTTTAGGTCCCTAAGATTTAGGATCTTGTTTGAATATCGTATACACAATGCATTCTAGCTTGTTGGTTTTGCCATGTTGTGATATTTGGATTATAAAAAAAAACTAGTTACTTAAGTAGCCTGTAAACAGGGGAAAATTAATGCATGGGAGATTTCATGTTGTTTCTGTTTTATAGCATTTTTAGATGTTGCTGATTGAATCTTGTGGTCCTGAATATTAAATATAAATGAAAATCTACAATGTGCAGGTGAGGTCTTATCCCAGGCGTGCATTCACCGACTCTGAGTCTCAGATGTCTTTAAGTGATCTTGGCCTCAATAGCAAGCAGGAAGCCTTGTTTCTAGAGCAGATTTCAGGATAGGGGGAAACCGGGAAAGAGTTAATTGCAATTAACACAACAGGGATTCACAGAATTTTTTTTTCTTTTTACTTATGCCTGGCACATGTTCGTGAAAATATTAGCAAGGTTCGCATGAAACTTGGCGTTAAGGTCTCATGACCCTCTTTTGTGTTTTGGAATGGTGACTCTCAAGTACCGGGTTTCATGTGATACTCACCCTGCATATTTGAACAGTCAGAACTCAGAATGTACATAGACTGCTGCTTTCAGAGCTACCGCAATTCATCAATTCATTAATCTATGTTCGCTTGTTCAAGATAGTATCTGCACTGTTGGACTGTTTATAATGGCATGAATCCAATTAACCCTAGTAAGGTACTAGCATGTATGGGTGGCCTCTTGGCCCTTTTGTCCCTGAACATAACTTACCTGCTCCATTGATTCGAGATGTAGCCAGCCAGAGGGTAGGTTGGATTTATGTTCGAGAGTGCATCGCTGGTGCTGTTCCACGGAAGTCGATTCTTCCAGGAACGCAATATTGTTGGCTTGGATCGTTTAACATAAGCTGAGAAAGGAAAACACACAAGGAAAACAAAGAGGGGCACGATAGCCAAAGGAGGTCATCGTTAATGAACCAGCAACCGGGCATTACATGATTGTTCCATAGTACTTACTGGTATTATTCATCGACATCAATAGCAACTGCAGTACAATCTGAAGATTTTACTAAACGAGACACGAAGACAACGACGGCTTCGTCAACACCTTGATTATTCTTCTTCCATGGCGTCCGGGGTTAACTCTCGTCTCGTCTTAGGCAGCTGCACACAGCAAAAGAAACAATGATGATTAGAGGCAATCATCATGAGAAAGAAGCCGATTAGTTTTAAGAGGGGGTTACATACAGCAGTTGATCTGGCTGAGGTGGCATCTGGAAGGCAGGCTGTTCATGATGCTGATGGCGCTGCAGGCGCAGCCCTGGGAGATGGAGCTGAGCGCGCTGCAGCACTCGGCGCTGGGGTCACCGGCGCCGGGCACCGCGTACGCGCGGCACGCCAGCAGCCTGTTCAGCTGCGGCACGCACTCCCCCCCGCCGCCGCCCTGCGCCTCCGCGCCCACGGCCAGCAGCACCAGCACGAGCGCGCACGCCGCCGCCGCCGCGTTCCCCTTGCTCGCCGCCATATCTCCCCTGCTCCTGTGCTTCTTCAGACGATGCTGCAAATATTACCTTACCTTTGCTGCTGCTGCTTTGCTGTGCTTGCCGGTGACGGTGAGGAGCGGCGGGTTTTATAGGGGGTGGCCGGAGCTTGGGGGCGCCCGGCGAGCTTTGCATGGCTCACCTATGCCGGTGATCGATGGAGAAGCCGAGCACGGCAGTTTGTGCGCGTGGTACCGAACATGCGTCACGCTCTTGGACTGTGAGCCTCTTCCCCGCCGTGCGTCTCGGCCGGGGTCGGAGAGGAAGAGGGAGCGCCTGCTGCTTTGGTGAAGAAACGGCCCATCAACCCTTCGGGCCCCGTGTGAACTAACACGACCCAATCTCGAAATTAATGGGCCATATTATATGGGCCACGTGGAGCAGGTAATGCCCAAGTAGTTCTTTGCAGGCCTATGTTAGCTTTTTTTTTTGGGCCTTCCCAGCTGCCGAGTCGAGTATATTTTGCGGATTAAGTCCACTTTGGCTCTCTGAAAAAATGATTCAAGAACCTAAACCACAAAGCCGGATATCTCGACCCCCGAACTATTGAAATCGGTATGATTTGACTCCCTTAGCGGTTTCGCTAATGTGGCGGTGTTGACCTAGTCTGTGGGGTTGACGTGACGCTTAAGTGGCATTTGAATTAAAAACATATATGTGGGACCCGTTTGGCCCCGCATATCATCCTCTCTCTTTCTTCTTCATCCCTTCTCTCTCTTTCTCTCTCTCTCTCTCTCTCTCTCTCCCGGAGTGGTACCGACCAGCGGGAGCTAAAGCGGCGGCGGCGGCAGCGAAGGAGGAGAAGGAGGCGGTCCCACGTTGTCCGCTCAGGTCTCCCCCCAGCACCCTCAGGCCGCGCCGACACCCATCTCTTGGCCCGCCAAAGCCATCAACCACCGTCCCCCTACTCGATCTCGTTGGCGTCGGCTCTAGCTCGTCGTCGCTGCCGCTTTAGCTCCCGCCGGCTACCACCACTCCGGCCCTCGCCCGCCGCCGCTCCAGCCTGTGCTCCCCGTCGCCTGCCGAAGGGGAGAGAAAGAGAAAGAAAGAGAGAAGGGAGGAAGAGGGGAGGAAGAAGAAAGAGAGAGAGGATGACACGTGGGGCTCACCTCACAAATTTTTTTGTGTGTGAATGTCAAACAGGTCCCACATATATGTTTCTAATTCAAATGCCACCTAAGTGTCACATCAATCCCACAGACTAGGTCAACACCGCCATGTTAGCACAATGTCAGCGAAAACGCCCTCCAAAACCGCTAAGGGAGACAAATTGCATCGATTTCAATAGTTCGGGGGTTGAGATATCCGGTTTTGCGGTTTAGAGTCATGGATTAGATTCTGGTCACTTTTCAAGGAGTCAAAGTGGACTTATTCCATATTTTGCTGGACTTATTCCACACACGCTGACGCTGTGTAGTAGTGTAGTACCGTACAGATCTGAACACAATACTGTATTTCTGATCAATGTACAAAATACAGTGTGCGTTCAGTTGACAGAACAAGTGGCTGTTGCTCGCATTGTGCCATGCATCAATTTGTTTTTCTAAGCAAGCTAGCACACACGCATCTCTGCAGAAGAATCCCACGACCTTTGGCATCTTCTCTGCATCGTCCACTGACCAGCGGTCTGAATTCCGGCTCGGCTCATCCTTTCCCGGAAAGAAATTCTCCATGTGCGGTGGCCACTGGATCTGTATCATGCAACACGAGGGACTAATTAATTTGATATAAGCTTAATTGGAACTAAAGTATCAGCTGGAATCAGGACGTCAACTTGATTAGATAGCCAGGTATTATCACCTTATTATTTCTGTCCATTAGGCATGAACCAGGAACATCACTCTGATCTCCCATTTCAGTACTGAAAACCTTCACCAAAGCAGACCAGGCCGTTCAGATTGTATTTATATATGCTCTTCGAGTGCGATTCTGAATTAGATTATATCAAAGGAGCTAGGTACACAACTACACAGAGTATCTCGTAAAGCAGATCAATGAGCAAATCAGTGATCACTGAATAATTGCAGGGCTTTTTTCTTCTCCTTTATGGTCCACATATTCTTGTTCGCCATGGTCCACTTTAGATCATAAATATGTGCATGTAACCATTACAAAATAAACGCTAATCCAGTGTCTTTTTTGTGATAAAGAACGGGCCAGTCGGCAAAGATATGAACTTTATTCGGATGCCATTACATTGGTCATGAACAGTGTAACGATCTAAAATCTTTTTCCTATGATATCCTACATGCTAGCGATGCAACTCATAGTGACTATGAGCATACATAATTGAGTGGGCAGGCACCTAGGAGTATCTGTATATATCAATAATATCATCGTCTAACAGTTCATTTGTCACTCTTTTGTCAGCTGATCGTTCAACTTCATGTAGCTATATAGGAGTTGATGTTGCAACTTAATTATTAACCCCTGAAATCTTAACCAGTACTGGCCAAAGTAATCTAGATGATCTGGCAGCGCATACCGTGTGGAGTTAAATTGGTAGGTGCCTTTGATGCTTTCACGATTTCACCTATCGAAATCTCAAACGAAAACGATCTTTTTGGTGCGGTTTTTCTCCTGGTTCTTTTGTGTACTTTATACCATAACCACCAGAGATACACACCAAAGCGATGAACAGTGAAAGGAACAGCAACATCCTTCAGACTTGAGAGTTCAGTCTTCCAGATCAGCAAGCGAACTGAATTTAATCAAATGTACTAGTACTGTTTTCTGGCGGAGCTACAACTGTATGATCCAATGATCAGCTTGTTGGTCGTCTCAAGCATCATATCCCAAACAAAAAAAGAAAAAGAAAAAAGAATCAGTAAAGTACACCTCTCGCTTGATTGATTGCAATGGTGGACCAAAAATTACAGTTTGATCGATGTGAAGCGTGTTGCATCAGTAACTTTTTAGTTTTTACTACGTACTCTCCTTTTCATCGAAAGAGCGAGATCGAGAAAGGATGCAGTGTTTGCAAATTGCAATTGACGACGAGAAATCAATCGAAAACGAAATAATTGGCAGTACGGCAGTAGGTCTGACTCACGCGTCCACGAAAATTAAGCGACGCCAATATTCTTCAAGCTCCGTTTCGTCTTCGTCTTCGTCTACCTCTGTCATGTGCCTGTATCGTACACGCTCGTGCGCGGATCGAGTACACGCGCGAGCGATCGAGCCGTACCGTTGTGCGTACGTACGCTCTCGCGCGACCGGTCGCCGGCGGCCGGCGACCGGTGGCCGGCTGGTGGTTGCCGCGTCGGCGGCGAGGGTGGGGCCCCCATCGATCGGTCTCGTTCACCTCGCGTAGTAGGTTACGGCGTCCCTTTCCGATCACGTACGCGCGATCCTCTCGCGAAGCAAAGAACATCATCCTTGTGATGGAGGACGTGGGTGCGCGCCGACGTGGACGCGTCGCCGTGCTCCACGTGTGCCCCGGCTGTCGGTGGCCTCCCTTGCCCGAGGAAGAAGATAGTGCAGCTCTCGCTGACAGATGGCCCCCACCTGTCATAGGCACGCGTGCAGCATCCGACGGTACGGATCACCCGCAACGGCTTTTTACGTACTCAATCCGTTTCATATTTTCATATAAAAAAATCGTTTGATTTTTTTTAATCAAACTTTGATAAGTCTAATTAAGTTTATAAAAAAATTTAGCAACATCTAAAATATTAAATTAGTTTTATTTTAATAATATGTTTATTTTGTGTAACTGTATGGATTGCGAGAACAAAATATCAGTTATAGAATGATGTGGCAGAATGTATATCACCATTGCTAACATTTTAAGTATAGACAACCACCGATCTGATCCGACGTGGCAGGTGACGTGTGCTTGAGTACGGGCAAGTACATTTTCATCTCGAGGCTTCTCCGGATCACCGTCGTTAACGTAACACGTGGAGATGTAACAACAGTAAAAAGGCCAATTATTATTCAGTTTACCCTACTGCCTTTCTTTTTCTCTTCTGATTGGCAGATTGGCATACAGGATTCAGGATTTACCTGTCTGAAGAATTGGACTGTTGTTGTGGCAGCTCTCCCATGCAGGGATGTCTCTGCTTGGCCATATTCTGCTTCTGTTCACCGAACAATGCAGATTTTTTGTTGGCTTCAGTCAGCTTCATTTTCCACTTCGTCCCCAACACATTCTCCAGTGTGGGGGCAAAGCTAGCAACTTTACAAGTTAGCACTAATAGCACTTTACCAAGTTGTTATATCTTTGATGAACGATTGTTATATTATTAATACACAGTGCACTCAAGCATGCAAGATGCTAGGCAGCAGCAATGCAGTAGTAATATCTGAAATTAAAGAAGATGCCATCTGCCCAGCAGATAGATCAGCAGAAGGAATTGAGCATGATGAAGCATCAGATGTAGGCGTGTACAAGTGTAACGCTGCTGCTTTCAGGACCATCCTGAAAGAAACACCCTTTCTTAGGCTTTAATTTGTCCTGCACTAACTGAACATTTTGCAAATGGAGGCTTTCTTACTCTCTTCTTTCTTCTAGGCATCTACCCACATCCATGCAGTAGCACTAGTACAGTACTTGTTACCATCATATCATATCATATCAAGAATGGCACTGCATATATACACAACTGATTGAGTGTGTACTAGTAACAGAAATGTTCCAACCCATGATTGGGGTGATGAGCACAAAGATGAGAGCAATGAGCAATTGAGCATTGCTTGCTCTCCTGCCGGTTTGTATCAGAAGCTGACACTTGGACGACATCACCAATGGCCGATGCTTCTCTCGCAGCACGTACACTCCAAGGTACTAGTAGTAGCAGAGTAGGAGAGAACTTTACAGAAGTGTATACACGAAGCATATCATATATTCATATCATTCCTAGAAAACAAAAAGCGAAAGAAATTAAAAAACTAAGAGTAGTAGTAGTTGGTAGGATTGTAATTTGTCAGGTGAGGGGTGAAGTTGGCGAGATAGCTCTACAGAAGCAGAAGGCTTTGCTTGGAGGCGAAGGCCGGCAACGCGGAGATGAACTGAAGAAGAAGGAGAAGAAGGAGAAGATCGAGCCGTACCAAGCAAGCAGCTTTTGCAACAAACCAAACCACCAACCGATCGATCGAACAAACCACCATTCCCCACACAGCCACGCTCACCAACCCAAACCGACGCGTAGTCGACGAGTTCGATCGATTGCCCGACCGTATCCGTACAATTGCTGACGCAACCAAACCATCACAAGGTTAAATACAGTAAAAGAAAAAATAAAGAAATTCTCTTCTTCTTGTAGTAGAAGAAGATGATGCCATTGGAGTTCTTGGCCATTGTATAAACAGGGCTAAGCTAGGAGAAGGAGCCCCACACTTGTCTACTTGCAAGGTGGACACCATTGGGGTTGGGTTGGGTTGGGGGTTGCTTGGTTGCTTGCATTGCTTAGTTTTCATCAGTATAAATATTCTGCTGCCCTGTCCCTTAGTTGTACCCTGTCTTTTTCTTCCTCCTCATACCCTTTCTTCTTAGCTCTTCCTCCCATTCCTTCTTCGATTCATTCCTGTCTCCAATTGGAGGTCACAATTGCAGCTTGCAGCTAGCTCAAATTTCCATTTTTTGTTTGGTTGTCTCTCGGCAGCAAAGCAGATATAGAGCAGAGGAAAGCTAAGCTAAATTAGTTAGTTAGATTACTAGTCTCTGGCAGCTGGGTGATCTTAATTTGATCAAAGAAGAAGAAGAAGAAGCAAGTTTTTTTAGCTCCTGAGTATATTATAGGATTAACTACTACTAGGATAGTACTCCTATATGAGAAGAAGATGATGCGCGGGAAGGATCAGAAATTTCCGGCGATGAAGAAGGAGACGGCGGCGGTGGCGAAGGAGGAGGTGTGGGAGGTGCGGCCCGGCGGCATGCTGGTGCAGAAGCGGAGCCCGGAGTCGGAGCCACCGCCGGGCGGCGCGCCGGTGCCGACGATCCGGGTGAAGGTGAAGTACAACGGGGTGTACCACGAGATCTACATCAACTCGCAGGCGTCCTTCGGCGAGCTGAAGAAGCTCCTGTCGGAGAAGACGGGGCTCCACCCCGACGACCAGAAGGTGGTGTACAGGGACAAGGAGAGGGACTCCAAGGCGTTCCTCGACATCGCCGGCGTCAAGGACCGCTCCAAGATGCTCCTCCTCGAGGACCCCACCGCCCAGGCCAAGCGCCTCCTCGAGGAGCGCCGCCATTGCAAGGCTGAGCGCGCCGCCAAGTCCGTCTCCCGCGTCGCCCTCGACGTCGACAAGCTCGCCTCCAAGGTAGCTACCCCGCTGCTTTGCTTTGCTTGTCTTCTCCGACTCCGGCGTCGTTGAGCTGTTTGGTGGTGTACGTGCAGGTGTCGGCGCTGGAGGCGATCGTGAGCAAGGGCGGGAGGGTGGTTGACGCCGACGTGGTGGCGCTCACCGAGGCGCTGATGAATGAGCTGGTCAAGCTCGACTCCATCGCCGCCGACGGCGAGGTCAAGGAGCAGCGCCGAGTGCAGGAGAAGCGGGTGCAGAAGTACGTCGAGGCCCTCGACGCCATCCGTGCCAAGACCAAGAAAGCGGCGGCGGCGCCGCCCAAGGCCCGGCCGCCGCACCTGCCGCCGCGGCCGCCGCCGGCGCAGCAGCAGCAGCGCCGGCAGTTCCAGCCGCCGGCGCCCGCCACGGCGACCGCGCCGGCGCCACAGACCGCGACGGCCAGCTGGGAGTCGTTCGACCTGCTCTCATCCGTGCCGTCCACGTCGTCGGCCCCGGTGACCACCATGGCGCCGGCGACCACCACCACCACCTCGCCGTCGCCGAGGTTCGAGTGGGAGCTCTTCTAGACGATGTGGGGCCCACACTGGCCGCATGTGTGTACACGTTCATTGGCCGGTCGGTACCTATGCCTTTCTTGCATGTTCATCTTTGGTCACTCATGGTGCATGTCAATTGTCATTCTTCCTTTCCTCTCTCTCCCCAATTCTTTCTTTCTTTCTTTCTTTCTTTTCTGAATTCTGAGTGTATATTGATCTCTACAAAAAAAGGGGCTAAAATGTCAAGTGAGTGAGTGAGTGTGATCCTCATGAAGAAGACAACATCAAAACCATGAGACACTCTGATGATCCATGGTCTGCAAAAAATAAGTGGTGGCCTTTGAGATGATGATCAAAAAGGAAATTTTTCATGACAATATATATGTACAGTACTGTATACTACTACTAGTGTACATCAATGGTCTCAGCATATGTTGCCTGTCTCATTCATCTTCTTCTACACTGTATGTATGTATTATCATCACTTCCTACATTGTACAAACAATGCTGCTACTACTACATTTCTGGTACTCATATTCAGTAGAATTCAGCTGTCTGGAAATGCAAGTGCAGCATATGCATCACAGCTCTGAATTTCAGATTGATTGGCTGAATAATTGTGGGGACTGATGGGCAATTATTAGGCATCTGCCAGTGCAGGGTAGTTAGCAATTTGGATGCATTCGATCGGCGGCATAAAACTATGTGCTCTCTCCTCCATGCTTTGGACCGGCCGGATTTTATGTACATGCCATGGATCAAAAGCCTCCATTTTTCTGCACTTGTTTAGAAGCTCTGTTTGGTCAGCATGACAGGTAGCAGTAGTAGTAGTAGTAGTAGTTGTTGTTGTTGTTGTTGTTCAGAGTTCAGAATTTGTGTGCAAGGAGACAGGGGAAGCTAATAATACTGGGCTTGTGGGGTTTGTATAAAGTTTGATACATACTTTCATTCATGTGATGGCCAGATCAGCCTATCAATTGTGAGTTGAGTGGTGCAGCAACAACAACACTTCTGCTATACTATAGTGTACTCTATTACAAGTAGATATGATCCTCTGTCCCATTTTTTCAGCTGGCACTAATGACATGATCACTGCACAACTTAATTTGTTCTGTTCCATGCTAGCCATTCTACCAGCTCTTCTCTTCCCTTCACCTGAATACACAAGCCAAAATGAGAGCTCAACATTTGCATCACGAGCTCTTTTCGGACAATCTACTTGGGTTGGTGTGCACACAATTGTAGTAGTACCTGTTGTGCAGAGGGCAGTAATTGGTGTTGTCCTCAAGTTGCAGACTTTGCAGAGATGCCTTTCTTCAGAGAAGCACAGAAAGAAAGGCAGGCTGAGTTGGAAGCTTCATGCCCAGCTATTAGAAATAGGGAGTCTAGGAGATCACAGTAGTAGTAGTAGCAGCAGTAGCTCATTTGGTAGTAGGATAAAAATTAATTACTCAATTAAAGAGAAAGAAGCTGCTTGTAGTAGTAACCTAGGAGCAGCATCATAATCGTATTGGCTTCACGTTGTACTTTTGCCGTCAATTCGTTGCAGATGCGTAGTCGCTATCTGCCCGTAACTTGACACCAATGGCTGGCTCGACAGAGACAACCCAGCTTATAATTAATCAACATCACAGAAGAAAAAGATCATTAGCGTCCGTCAGTTAGTCCTCAAGTACGTACGCCTCCCTGTTCCTTTGCTTGCACATTTTCGTGCAGATCAGAATCAGTTCAGAGCAACCAAACTTTCGTCCTCAACACACACACCTGCAGCCTGCAAGCTTGCGTTTTTCTGAATTTTTTCAGTCGGTGGCGTCTCAACAGCTCGGTAGGTGCGTGAGAGAGTGAGGAGGAAACGTCGCATTTGACTTGTGAAGCTGGTCATTCCTTTTGGCTTTTAGATCTGCGTGTACTGCTTGGGCTTGATGCTTTACCTGCCGCTGATGTTTGAAGTTTCTGCTAATTAATCAGGCTTTGCTCATCACAGAGAAAACACTTAAAACACCCACTTGCTGAAGCTGGTCAATGGTGATTAGCTATACTATTTGCCATTGCAGCATGTGATGCTCGCCCCGTTGATGTAGTATATATGAATACTCGAGTCAAGTTTTGGAGCAAATGAGAATGGTGATCTGCATTGTCAACGGTTGGCTCTTCCTGTAATTATATTCACTGTTCAGAGCTAACACATGCTCGGCCATCTTCTGCCATGTCTTTCTTTTGCATTTCTGACAGATCTTCTGCCATCAGCCATCTCTAGTAGTAGTAGTAGTAGTAGTAGTTGCTCAGTCGTTAGATCCATTGCAAGCCAAGATTTGTAGCATGTTCCATGTTGTACATTGCTGACAGAGGATTCAACACACGATTTTGACTGTGCACATTTTATATGGAAACAACGCTCAGTCAATCGACAACTTTCGTGACCATTTTCACCCAGCCTGCCATCCACGATCCAGATTAGTAAGGCAGAAATGGGCTAGAATGTAATGGTGCTTGTGTTAGAGCCACACGTTGCAGCTGCTCTCCACACGGTACAGTGGATGAGTGGAATACAGTGTGTTGCCGTCAGCGATCGAGTGCTTTGTGGAGTTCGTGTGTGGACAGACTTCAGCAATTGTGTAGTAGCAGCTGGTGGCAGGCTGGACCATTCTGTTTGGGCCGGTCAAGCTGTTGCTGTACTTTAGATGGGCCTTGCACCATGAAACGAGGTGTCAAATTTTGGCACATTCAGGCCCATGAAAACCATCCCGGGCTATAAACACTAGCATAAACAGTACTGGACTCACAGCCCAAACAGAGGAACTGTTTCAGCCCACAAAGTCAAACAGTACTGGACTCAGCCCAAACAGAGGAACTGTTTCAGCCCAAAAAGTCACCAGTAGCCCTGTTAGTGTTAGCCCACGCATGAAGTCATCGTCGGCCCATTATCTTGGGCCGTGTCAGCCCATGAAGTCATCGTTGGCCCATTTTCTGGAGATTGGAATTTCCAGTCCTTTTTGCCCTGTTCTTTTTCAGCCCATTCACTAAATTATTAAAATAAATTATTTGCCTCACGTTTCAACAAATACGTTTATTTTTTCCAAAAAGTTTTCTTGCACTGTCTTGCGTAGATCACTTGTTTTAAACTATTTGTTATGTTTATTTCTTAAAATATTTTATTTTGCTCTATAGTTAAGTAGAATAGTAGATACTCCCTCCATCTATTTTTAATAGTTATATTTTCAAATCTGAAAAATTTATTTTTATAGACATATTTCAATCTAACAACCTATCATCTTAATGACTTACTCAGATTTAATGCGTAAATATCCATTCTTCCACACAAGATTGGCTACATGGGCATCGAGAAATGTAAATATTAATGAATCGCTTGTTTACGAGGAATGACTAGTAGCATGTTTAAATAGATGATAAGTAGAATTACTTATCTTTGGTCTGTGTGCCAAGATGAAATATGACTATCAAAAGTAGATGGAGAGAGTAATTCACAAACACAATGCTTTTTTAAAAAAAATAAGATATTTTTTTTGAAAAGATGACAACCACAATGCTTTCAATAATCTAGGGCCTCGCACCAAACTTCCCTCAAACTCCCAACTTTCCATCACAACACGTTACATCTAAAACTTTCCTACTCACATAAACTCCTAACTTTTTTTCTAAACTACCAACTTTCCCTAAACTTCTCCCCAATTTCAGAAACTAAACACAACCTAGATTAAACGAGACAGTTACTTTCAGTGATTCACCTAGCAGCTTCCAGGTGTGTATGCACTATGCACACAAGCAGTTGCACTGCAGGTTCAAGTGCCCCATTTGTGCAGCACTCTTGGTGAAACAGTATCAGCTTAAGCATGCACACAAACATGCAGTACAGTGTATCACTGGTGATGGATCTGTGGATATGGTGGCATCAGGTGGACCAGTACTACACATTGTTGGTATGTACCCCTCCATTTTTATATCATAAGTCGTTTAACTTTTTTGTTAATTAAATTTTTTTGAGTTTGACTAAGTTTATAAAAGAAAATTCTAATATTTTTCATATAAAACAAACAGATTATCGAAATATATTTAATGTTAGATTTAATAAAACTAATTCAATATTGTAGATGTTGCTAACCTTTTTTTATAAACTTGATCAAACTTAAAGAACTTTAACTAAGAAAAAAAAATCAAATGACTTTTAATAGGAAACGGAGGGAGTACCTCCCAACTGTAGCCATGCATCATCTCTGCACATTTTCTCTTCTTGAGCCCAAGAACTGAACAAACAAACATGCAGACTAGATAGCTCCTAGCATTGCCTGCATCATCATCATTCGTGTACTGATCAATCTTGTTACGAATCATGCTGCAACAGAGGCGACACCCAACAAACCAGAGCCATGCCTCAGATCTGGTCGATTCATTCATTCCGATATCGATCGATGCGTCCAAACCTGATCGAGCTTGCCTGCAGGATCGCCCCTGTTGCATCATGCACCATACATGATGCATGCAATTGCAATTGCAGCTGCAAATTAATTTGCAATTGCATTCATCAGCTAGCTTAGCGAGGCTGCATATGCAGTGAAATGTGCATGGATGGATGGAAGCAAGCATTCTGTTCAGTCTGATCAGGAGACCCAGCAAGCATGTGCCTCCAGAAAAGCAGCTTCTCTAACTAACCAGGCCCTGTTCATCCATCAGACTTTCAGTGGCCAGCTTGTTATTATGGGCCTCTCTGATTATCTCTTTTTCTTGCCCTCGATCTCTACCGACTGCCTGCCTCATCCTCTGCTGTGTATGTGACGTTAGCTCCTCGATCTCATCAGGCAAAGATTTATTACATCGCCATGCACTGAACATGGGAGACTAGCCTACATTTGCTAACAACTTGTGGCGCCGATTTGGAAAAGATAAACGGGCGAAAAATTTGGCAATTTGCACTCTAGGATTTGGATGTCACAAGAAGAGGTTAGGCAAGAGCACCAAGCAGTCAGGAACTTAGATAATTAATTATTGTCCCAAGAAGTAAGCTAAGCTAATTCTATTGCCAACTAGCAAGTTAATTGGTCTGTTTGATTTAGATTATTAAGTGAATTACTAATTCTCATAGATTATATATTCACTTAATTAGAAACAAAAAAAATATTTTAAGTAATAATTTTAATGAATAGATTAAAATAAGTGGTCTAAAAAATATAGTAAAATAAACTCTCTCTTTTTTTTTAAGATAACGCATCTTGGAAACATGGGACAAATAATCTATTTCGATAATAATCTGAAAAGAGCGCATGAACCGGATGACGCATATTAAAGTTCATCATATCCACTCTCTGAAATGATCGATCTGCTTGCTAAGATGGAAATATCCAGAGAGTGATATATGATCCAAAGCAGAGACTATTTCCCGGCTTTTTTGGCACAGTGAAATTTTGCTGGTCCGTCACCTCATCGGTCAATCGGCGAGAGAGCATGCATGCAGCAATCATTTCTTGCGTCCTGGACTTTGATTATTGATGCTAACTGCTGCATGCTCTCGATCCAGCTCCCAACTTTCTCAAACGAGGTGGGCTACTAGGTACAGGCCAGATCGATCGGAATTATATTCATTCATGCAGCAAATATAAAGCTAGAAAAAAAAGATCATCTCCTAGCTACTAGATAAAGTGAGAAAAAGACCTGTAGTTTTGGACTGATCACTGAACAATATAGGTAGCTAGGGGAGTTACATTTCACTTGGAAAACTCTGATTGATCGATCATATTCATGTAGATAATTAGATATTCTTGCGTGACGCAAGAATATACCGGATTAGACGCACCTAACCGAACAATTACCCAAACAGTGCAGGGATCCATAACCAAAACAAAAATGCGATGACAAAATGGCTAATTAACCCGCCCAGAGGATTGCACATCTATCCATCACATCGCTTGTGCATGACTCGGCACAAACATGCACATATCAGCAGTGGTAGCTAGCTTATCAAGAGACCTCTAATTAATCATGCTCTTTGTGCCATGAACCGGGGAAAATTAGTAATCCAAGAATGCCGATTCTAGAGGCAGCACACGTACATAGATCAGATTTGTCAGGCAAAGAAGATCAAGAAGGAGCAAGCAATCAATCATAAATGGGCAGGCATGCACCTGTGCGTGTAACTGAATATTCAGCTAGCGTTTGCATCATTCAGATGTGGTAGTAGCAGATAGTAGCTACTCCAGTAGCATACATCGTTCGTCAGGATGATGGTCAGATACATGCATGGTTACCGACTGAATTCAATTGGACCACAGCATCGATCTCCTAGTGTTTCTCCTCCCCCGCAAGGAGTCAAATTCATCCCCAAGGATGACGCACGCGCAAGTGCAGCCCAGCCAGCTACTATCCCTATCTTGTACTGTCTCACTTTCTAGTGGGCAGCTGCATCTAACGAGGACACTGGACACACATAAGGTGTGTTTAAATGCGAGTGGATGATGGACATTGGCTTCATCTTTTCGTTTATACTTATGCTTATCAGCTAAAATTTTAATTTTTAATCTTAAATTTAAAGCTGATTTTGATGTTTTCTTTATCGAAGTTTATTTTTCAGTCTTTGCTTTTAGATCGCTAAGAACACATATATAAAAGTTTTATTCACAAATTACTTTTTGTTTGCAAATATGCCGTTTGGTTTATTCCACGAACCAATGAATTAACTACTAGAAATAACATAATCCGCCATCCGTTAGCTAAAAATAACATAACCTTAATATAAGGGTCCGTATATGTCAGCGCATAGGCTATACCAAAAAAAAGAGATGTTGGATGTTTATGATGTCATGACATATACGATCTTATAGAAATTGAAAAGGATGATTTTACCATCCTTGAGAAAGTATTAGGAGGTATTATATTTTTTAGTGTAAAATTTGGTACCAAAAATTTTAGTATAAAATTTAGGTAACTTGAGATACTCTCTAAAGGATCATAAAATTACTCAATTAAAAATGTTTGAACCAAAAGAGCTTACTCCCTCTGTTGTCAACCGGTGGGAGTAACTGAAAGATTCTTACAATGAGAATTGTTTTTTAGTTTTTGAGAAGGTGCCAAGAGATTTTTACATTTTATAGTATAAAACTTGTTATATTCAATATTTGATATACTAGTGGTACTAATTTTTACCATAAAAAAGTGGCCTCGTGGTACCACTCAAGGACCGCAAAATCACTCATAAAATATTCAAGGCCAGTCCCTTTTTTTTAAAAAAAAATAGATACTCAAGGCTAATTGTGTAATTCAAAGGGCTTCATAGGAAAAGGTCCCACAAAGTTTCAATAATGAAAAACAAATTCTTCTCAGTAAGTACTGTTGCTAATATTCGACCTTGACATACATAGGTCAGGCTGTCAAAACTAAATTATCATGGCCTTCATGGTTTCAGGCCTAACTACTAGGGAGCTGTACAGTAGCATGGAAAACTTTCAGTCAGGCCGGCCAAACTGTTAGAGGCCTGTCACTGTGGTAAACTATGAAACTGATGTTACTGTTGTCTGTTGAAGTTGGACAATGGACATACCTACCTGTGCTGTATCATCAACATTATAGATAGGCTGATTTTGTTTCCTTTCCATGATTTGTATAGTACTAGTAGTGTACAATAATACCACCAATGTGACAAATTCAGTTGGATTAGACGTATGAGCGAGCCTAGCGAATATGTAGACAGTGCTCACCTACAGTGTCCTAGCTCGTCCTAACAACCTGCAAATTGGGCTACAATTGGGTGCCACCACACGATGGATAAGAGGAGGTAGATCTATCGGGGAAAAGCCTGCCTTTCCTCTATCTAGATCGACCGATGGATAACAAGATACTATTATTCAGTAAAAACACTCCAATTTTCAGTTCTGACAGTTGTGTACTTCCACGTTCAGAAGAACAAGTCAGGACAGCACTGTAAATATGACAGCTAGTGTTCACTGAATGCCAACTCGGTGGTAATAGCAATTCAGAGGTCAGAACAGGAAAGCTAGTGTAGTGGACTCTGAAGATTGGCATGATGGAGAAAAGAAAGTTCAGACTTCTCCCATTTCCTGGGAGCATATAGCTAGCATATGCGTGTCTCATTCCCATTGCATCTCTGTATCGTCTTTTGCACCGAATGCACAGCGCGATCCAGGCAACGATCGATCAAGGTTGTCAATGAAAAGAGGAGGATAAGAAAAGCTGTGCAACCACCGGGCCACTCCATGTGTGCATCGATCCCAAACCAAAGTGGAGGAACAACTTACACACATCATTTGCCTTACAGCATGTCACACTTACTAGTGACAGAGACTGAAAGTTTTCTTATTATCTACTTTGCATCTAAATTTTGTTGAGAGTTATATATAAAATTTGTTTTAAGTACTAAGGACATAACTCGATTTCATTTTGTTAGTAGCTCCAAGAATCAAAATTAGTAGTTACTAGAAAATTATATGTAGAATGCATCCTGGAATATCTTACCAAAAAACTGCATGCACCATAGTACTTGTGTACTCCAAGATCCTTATGTACGGAATTTTGCAGCTACTTCTACTTAACTGTCATTCATGTCATTTTCAGTCATCTGGAGCAGTATAGTGTCAATGCCTGCTTGAGAGGAATCTTGGGGGTCAGGTAACTTCACATGGAGACCTCATCACCGAGCCTAATTGGCCTTCTCCAGAATAGAAGATGCAAAAAGACCAGCATAGGATTCACTGCAAATCATTTCGCACGTTTCCAAATAGCTCTTACAGATTAAATTACGAGATGTTCAATCAGTCTGCAATAACACCCAGTTGTTTCTGCCATTTCATGACAAGAACATTACCGTATGTTCGGTGTGCATTGCTATCATGGAGTCCGATAGTTCCAAGCCACAAAATTTCAGAATCCAGGGCACTTGGATTAGTATGGTTGAGAGCGCCATGAAAGGAAAGAATTACAAACTGTTGCTTCTTATGTACTTTAGGAAAAGCAGAGAGCATCGTAATGGTTGTGTGTTCGTTTCCCGTCACCAGTCACACTGAAATGATGCAAACCCCGCTTGTTGGCTGCCTCTTATCTTTTTGTTTGATTCCAATTCTACTAATCATCATGTTTCTTGCTCCAAGGTATCTCTATGCTGACTCTGAAAAAAAAAGGGCCATGCATGCATGATAGTTTCAGTTTCTGAATGTGTTTTTCCAGATTTTTCACATACTTTGGTCTTTGCTTAGCTCTGCCTGCATGGTTCGTTGACTAGCATAAATTGGTTCAGGTGTCTCCAATTACATTGCACGAGTCCTCGTGTGTATATGGATCAGGGTTTGGTTCGAAATTTCAGTAATTTCGCCTCCCCCCTCCCACTGGCAAGCTCACATCTCGCCCGAAATTTTCCCTTTTTTGCTTTTTTTTTGTAAATTTGGTTAAATTTTATTGAAACTCATTTAAAATTAGTCAAATTTTCAAATAAAATTAGCCAAAAACTTCCGAAATTTTGATAATTTTGGTCCCCACCGGCAAGAAAACTAATTCCAAAATTTCAAACCCTGATATGGATCTGGCCGTCTAATTGTGCGCTATAAGATTTGAAACTAAACTTTTTGAAATTTAGTTTCAGGAAGACACTCTCGATGGTACAATAATGTATCAGGTCTTTTGCACCCCAAATTGGAAAGGATAATGAGGTACTCCTTCTGTCCCAAAATAACTCAACCTAGGATGAGATGTGATATGTGACCCATTCTTATCCAGATTCGTTGTTCTAGGATGGGTCATATCCCCCTAGGTTGAGTTATTTTGGGACAGACGGAGTATGATGCAAATATACTCTTCTTTCGATCATCAATAGCAGCATAAAGCACCTGAAGAAAGTAGGGGGGGGCTTCAAATGAAAACGTTTTAGTATTCAGTATTCATTCCGAGGGAACTTACTTCCTTTTTCTTTACTATACACGGTACAAATACAAATGCTTACAAACATACCTCATAAGATGGTGGGCTAGCTAGCCTGGATTCAAAGTCTCACCTTTTTTATTTATTTGATATTAGATCTTTCCCTAGTGTTCGCATCTTTTTTTTAATAAAGTCACATAGGCAGCTCGCTATCGACAAACACGTCGTATACAACCAAAAGAATAATTACTTGAAAATACGAGTTGGAACCTGTGTATACAGATTCAGCTTCGCACATCAATCTAATTTCACAATGAAGATGCTTATAGAGCCATAATTAAAAATCTTGAATCCTAAAACTAAGAAGAGAAGAAAAAGAAAAAGTTGGAAGAAAAAAAAATAGAAATGCCTTTTTTTCTGTGGGCCCCATGTGACTTTGATCATGTCAGCAGGGCAGGCCGGCTGGATCAGTTATAAATAGTTCCAAGTCCCTCATAACTTCCTCTCCATCAGAAAAGCATCACTCCATAACATCCTTAACCATTTGCACCCAAGAAACGCCATTGATGATAGGGTAAGCTGCTGAGCTAAGAGTAAGAGCTCTCACATTAGCTAGCTGTACCACACACTACACTAGCAGCTGGAGCAGCACACACATCACACTACAATGTGCCACTGCTCGTCCAAGGTCGTAGCCGTAGCACAATGCCACCAGCCTCTGCTCCCGCCACCGGAGGCATGCCCCGCCCTGCATGACCGCCCCAGGTCGGCGCGCGGCGGCGGCGGCGCGATCGCCGAGGTGGCATCCATCGTGCGGCTCGCCATGCCGATGGTTGGAGCTGGGCTGCTGATGTACATGCGCTCGCTGGTATCCATGCTCTTTCTTGGCCGGCTTGGCCGTCTCCCGCTCGCCGGCGGCTCCCTCGCGCTCGGCTTCGCCAACATCACCGGGTACTCGGTGCTGTCCGGGCTCGCCGCCGGGATGGACCCCGTGTGCGGCCAGGCGTTCGGCGCCGGCCGCACGTCCGTGCTCGCCGCCGCGCTCCGGCGAACGGTCGTGCTGCTCCTCGCCGCGTCCGTGCCCATCGCCGCGCTCTGGCTCGCCATGCACCGGGTCCTCGTCGCCGCCGGCCAGGACCCCGACATTGCCGCCTGCGCCTACGAGTTCATCCTCTGCTCGCTCCCGGACCTCGCCGTGCAGTCCTTCCTCCACCCGCTCCGCGTGTACCTCCGCGCGCAGTCCATCACGCTCCCGCTCACGTACGCCGCCGCCGCCGCGCTCGCGCTCCACGTCCCCGTCAACGTCCTCCTCGTGCACGGCCTCGGCCTCGGGATCCGCGGCGTCGCGCTCGCCGCCGTCTGGACCAACCTCAACTTCTTGCTGTTCCTCGTGGCGTACGCCTACTTCTCAGGTCTGATTCGTGGCGACGACGACGACGACGGCGGCAATGGCAAAGCCGGCGAGGAGGGCGCGACGACGACGACGACGACGATGGAGTGGGGGTGGTTGGTGAAGCTGTCCGTGCACAGCTGCATGTCGGTGTGCTTGGAGTGGTGGTGGTACGAGATCATGGTGCTGCTCTGCGGCGTGCTCGCCGACCCGAAGGCGGCGGTGGCGGCGATGGGGATACTGATCCAGACCACGTCGCTGCTGTACATCTTCCCGCACTCCCTCAGCTGCGCCGTGTCGACGCGCGTCGGGCACGAGCTCGGCGCGGGGCGGCCGGAGCGCGCGCGCCTCGCCGCCCGCGTCGGGCTCGCCTGCGGCGCCGCGCTCGGCGTCGTGGCGTGCGCGTTCGCGGCGTCCCTGAGAGGGGTGTGGGCGCGGATGTTCACCGCCGACGCCACCATCCTGCGGCTGGCGTCGTCGGCGCTGCCCATCCTCGGCGCCGCCGAGCTGGGGAACTGCCCGCAGACGGTCGGCTGCGGTGTGCTGCGCGGCAGCGCGCGGCCGGGGAGGGCGGCGAGGATCAACGTCTCGGCGTTCTACGGCGTCGGCATGCCCGCCGCCCTGGCGCTGGCGTTCTGGCCGGCGCGCCTCGACTTCCGCGGCATGTGGGCCGGCATGCTCGCCGCGCAGCTGGTGTGCGCGGCGCTGATGCTGCTCGCCGTGCGGCGCACCGACTGGGACGAGCAGGCCGCCCGCGCGCGCGAGATCACCGGCGCCGTCGCCGGCGTCGTCGTTGGCGATGGCGACGTCGTCGTCAAAGGCGATCATGCAGACGCCGCCAAAGTAAAGGCAGACAGTGGCTTGCTCGTGGTCACAGTGCTAAGTTGATTGCCATATAATGGAGTATTCTTGACTCCTTAAAATTCGTTTTTTTTTTTACCTTTTTGATCTTTTTTTGAAGCATCCATTGGAAATTTTTAGGTATTGAAACGATGGATATTTGGATGATACATGCATCCTACTAATTTTTTCCTCTTCGAAAAAATTAACTATGTACATGATCGAAGAGACGAGAAATCTTCTGGCAAGGTAATCGTGTGTGTGCACTATTATGCAGCAGTGAAGATCGAGTTGCAAATAGCGGCACGGTGATGTGATTGTACACGTGGCGCCCTCACAGCGCTTTGGCCTAATCTAGTATATACTTTTGGGCCCTAATTAACTACTGTTAAACCCCATATATATGCATTGGATCTCATTATTGTGAAGTTACTTTTGAAAGGATGCATGATTATTTGATAGTGGTTATAATCATCTTTTTAATGTGCATGCATGCACAACCTCCATGGCTAATCACTTTCTGATCGATTTGGAATTATGCATGTGTCTTTTGGATCTATGCATATGGCCAGGGTAATCTATGGGGTTAAATTAAGATGATTGAGCTGAAGTGCACTTCAGTCTGATCATTTACATCATTGTCAATTATTTTGCTGATGAATAATTATGCCAAATCCGACAGACAAATCCCTTTTTTGTCGGTGTAGAAATGACCTCTCTGATCAGCACACCATGCAAAACTATTTTCGTCCTCTTTCGTCAGATGCATTATGCACCAAAGTACAGTCGTTAATATAATTAGGCTGATCGAGCTCCCCACTGCCATGTCAAAAGATTAAAAAGAAAAAAGGTGATTAATTAAATGTACTACTAGGACTAGCTACTAACCAGTTAGCCAGCTATCCCTCTCAAAAGAACAGGAAAGAGGTTGCTGATTGGAGCCCTGTTTGGCCCGGGACCGGAAGCCATTTGGGATTCCTCATCAGGAGACAGCTCAAATCCTTGCTGATTGCAGTATGTTAACATCAATCACACGAACACAACACACATGGTAAAGCCCTTTTTTGCGTTATTGCGCTTTTCTACTGTTGTTGTTCTGTACTACTACTACTTTGTACTTTCTCTTCTTGTCCTGAAATGATATAGAAAAATGGACTGAATTGGAGCAAAAGTAGTATGTAGTGCTAGGTCAGAAACATTAATTAGTAATAATATATATGTGCTAATTCAGTTCAGTTCCGTTTTGCTTAGCTGTAGCTCACTTGGTTTAGTTAATGGCTTAATGTCACAACAAACACACCTAGGCTGTTTCACTCAAAGCAGCACACATAACAAAAGGAGAGATTCCTCTCTCCAAGTTCCAACAAAGGTGAGCTTCATTACACACTGATCTACATCTGCTTTAAACCTAGTCAGGGCACAATGCATTACATTAACTTTTGTCAGATATTGTATTTTTCTGTCAGATATTGTTAAAAACGTACTCATGCTTGGAAAAGTGTCTGCATGGGTGTCAACTACTCCCTCAATTCCATATTATAATTCGTTTGTCTTTTTTCCTAATTAAACTTCTTTTAGTTTGATTAACTTTATAGAAAAATATAGCAGCATTTTTAACACAAAATAAACATATCATCAAAATATATTTAATGCTAGATTTAATGAAACTAATTTGATATTTTAGATGTTGCTAAATTTTTCTATAAATTTGTTCAGACTTAATAAAATTTGACTAGAAAAAAAGATAAACGACTTACTATAATATAAAACGAAGGGAATAATTAACTTGATCCAATTAAAGTTTCTAACTAGATTGGCCGTAGATGCAGATATGATATGTGCCCCAGGGGCCTAGGTGTGTGTCAAAAAAAACTGTGCATTGTTTGCGATCCACGTAAGCAACATGACACAAGATGTACTGTGTATATTAATCTATTAGTAACATTTTAAAACACATGATTACACATAAGGTTCTGAACCTACAGTACTAGACAGGTAGCTGATGTTCCCTTTGCTAACGAGATAATTAAAGAAACTACTAATTAATTAGTAGTGGTCCTCTGATGATATCCAAGAGCTAAGCCGTGCCCAATAATGTAACATAAAATTGTCCGAAGACTATATAATACCTGTGTGGAATTGTACGTCGACCTTTCTCCTTTGTGGATGGACAATTTAGAAACCAGATTGCTTATGTGTAACTGTAAAGACGGCCAAAAGGCCATGAATAAAAAAAATGTTCAGATTCATCGATCGGGCCTGAATGTATCTGAAATTCTCTCTGAACATACGTACGCACGAGCAGGGCAGCTCAGAGCACTTTGATCATCAGGGACTGAACTGGCGGCTGCCATAGTTAATTTAGCTCGATCCTAATTAAATGCCTGAACAGTACTTGAGCTTAATTTGTTAACTAACTGATCAGTAACTGGCTGCGTGCAGCTGCTAGCTAATGATCAATTGGCAGATATAGAACTTTATGAAAAGGAGGCCACATCTTTTTGTGCATGCATGCATGCATAAAATGCAGGCCATATGATGGTGATGAAGGAACGAGCAAGCTAGAGAGATCAATCGATCGATTGAGCTGGGTGGCCTCATGTCAGCCAGGCTCGTAGAGTTAGACACTTAGATAGATAGATACTCCCTCCGTCTAAAAAACCAACCTAGAAGTGGGTGTGATCCCTTCTACTTCCTTCGTTTTATAATGTAAGTCATTCTAACATTATCCATATTTATATAGATGTTAATGAATCTAGAGATTCATTAACATCTATGTGAATCTGAATGAATCTGGATAATGAATTATCTAGATTCGTTGTAAGAGGGGTCAAATGCTGATTTTTTTTGGGACGGAGGGGGTAGATAGGTGCAAGTGGGCAGACATGTGGGATAATTTGGAGGAACGTAACGTGTAGGGTACAGTAGTGTTTGTTAAGGCGTAGGCAAGCAGCACGGCGATGGCGATGGATCGATCAGTGTAGTACGTGGATCGATCTACTGCAATGTCCAATGGCAGCATGCATGCAGTTGCAGCCGTATGTATGTGCGTCACCCAGCTATCTGCATGCCTGCAATTCCTGTAGAGAACCATGTGTAACCTGCACTGCATATATATACTGACATGAACGAACGCATGGCATATAAGAGAGACTGACATGATGATATATATACCGCGCGCATGTGAGAAATTAATTGAAACTGATCTTTCGATGGATGGGCCACTTTTGTGTAGAGATGCAAGCGGGCTAACCCGTGACCGTGAACAGCTTATAGACAAAATTAGTGAGTAATCCGCCGGTTACTTACTAATTTAAATAATTATTATGGGTTGATCCACTTGCATCTCTACGACGCGACAAGCCAAACTATGATGTGAAAACTCACGGATTACCCTTTACTTAACATATATAAGTAGTTTTGTAGATCGGTCCGCTTGCATATCCCTACTTTTGTTGTCGGTCATAGTGCAGTCGCGATGGATCGATGAAGACGACGCTTGGTGGTGTGGTCTCTGATACTGAATTGAAGGCAACTTTTAATTTAGGCCATCCAATAAAACCGATGGACGCCTTGCAGTTAGTTGCAGGCCAGCAAATAAAGCTAGAGATCGAGCCTGCATGCATATATATCAGCATATGGATGGCTGTATTTTAGCCTGTGCATGTGCATGTACATTGCACGTTAGCTAGATCCTAGAGGTAGCAACGTACAGCCAACGCATACTTTGGTGACTTTGGGGACCGATAGGAATTACGTACGGTACGTAGCTATAGCAGTGTGCAGTGTGTGGTGTGCATGCATGCCAGGAGTAGTAATTAAAATGAGTAGTAGGAGAACTGTTTTAAACATTCGGGTGGACGTCCACCCGTTTCTTGTATGTCATCTAAATGGTTATGAAAAATTTTCAAAAAAAAATTGACATGATAGGTTAATATGTAATATATCATCTCACAAACATGCAAATTCAAATTCGACTTCTACAAGTTGGAACAAGAACAACAAATTTGACTGTGAATATACGTATACTAGTTAGAGTTTAATTTGTTATTTTTGTTACAACTTGTAGAAATCGAATTTGAACTTACATGTTTGTGAAATGATATATTACATATTGAAGTATCTTATAATTTTTTTTAGGATTTTTTCATAATCATTTAGGTGACATGTAAGAAACGGGTGGACGTCCACCCGAGAGATTGGTGGTATGTAAAAAATGGGTGGACGTCCACCCGAGAGATTAGAATCCATCTCCTGAGTAGTAGCAGCAGCAGCAGCAGCATGCAGATTGGATTTTGGTTGGGTTAGATGGGGCGTCCCTGTCGACACACGAGTGGCACAGTACGTAGTTGAAAGGAGATCGATCCTGCCGTTGGCGAGAGGCGCCAGAAATAAACGTGCGTCATCCAGGCTATCCATGCGATGCATGCATGGACCACCAATAATATAATCCACTCGTGCTATAGCCTCTACGTGTACCAGCACGCTTGATCGCCGCCGGCCTAGCTAGGAGTAGCTAGGCCGGCCGGCCGGCCGGAGACGATCGATCGACGAAGAAATAATCACGCATCACACCACGCGCCGACACGTATGTCTCGTGCATAAGAGCAGGGTATAAGCCCGCTGCAAACATATTTGAAAAAGATAAATAAGGAGAAAGAAAAGCAGCGGACTACATATTTGTAGTCAGCTGTAGCACGGATTTCAAGACGCGGTGTGTGTATGATATATGGGACCAGGTATTAATATTGTAGTATGTAACTATTGTATGAATGAGCTATTAGATTGGCTATAGATGAATTGGAGCTAGTAGTTGGCTATACTGTTAAACTTGCTACAAATCATCTATAGCCAATTTAACAGCCAATTTATACAATAGTTGTTTATTATACTATTAATATCTGGTCCCACCTATCATACAAACATTACGTCTTGGAGTCCGTGCTACAGCTGACTACAGATCTGTAGCCCGCTGCTCTTCTCACTCATCTTTTATCTCTTTAAAATATGTTTATAGCTGGCTTATAATCTATTATTGTACCTAACTATGTAAGCGGACCGACCCGTGAACCTACTTATACGTTAAATAAAGGGTAATTTATGGGTTTTTCACGTCGTAGAGATGCAAGAGTGGATCAACCCATAAATTCATTAATTTATAGATTAAATTAATTAGTAGGTAATCCACACCGCGTGTTTTACTCACTAGTTTTATCTATAAGCGGGTTCACGGTAGGCCTTGCATCTCTATCAGTTGCATGCCGCGCGTGTGTACGAAATGAAGAAGAGAAGAGGCATATATATGATGTCGATCCCGACCGGCTGGCCCAATCGTGCGGCCGCCACGCGTGCACCGGCCGACGGTATGACCAATGCCTATATATAGAGATGATCAGATGACC